AAATATTATATATATATATATTTATAAAATAAATATTCATATATATTTTTTATTTTTTTTGTATTAAATTTTATTAATATAATTAAAATATATTCCTTTTTTTCTCCTTTTTTTTAATTATCTATTTATTTATAATTATAATTCAATTATTATAATAAATTTAAAAATACAATATTTTATTTATAATTTATCTGAATATATATTTTTTTTTTAAACTTATGTTTAATTTTATATTAAATTATATTATATTTAAAAAATTTTATACTTAATTTTTTTTTGCAAATTTTTACAACTAATATAATTTTTTTTTTGCAAATTTTAAATTATTACTAAAAAATTTTTAAAAATATTTTAATAAATAAAATTTGACATAATCAATATAGAATTTAAAATTTTATTTGCATTATTTTTATAAATAAAATATATCTATTAATAATATAATTTTCTAATTTATTATAAACTTTTTTAAAGTAAACAATAAACATATTCTAATTTAAATAAGAATATTTTAATTTTCCAATTAATTTATACTTTAATTTATTTTTATTTTTTTATAATATAATAAAAGAATTAAAAATTTTAAATATATATTTTCATTGCATAATAATTTCATTTATTTTTTTATCTAATAATTAAAAAACTTTTATTTATTTTTTATAATAAGTAATAATGTTTATTTATTAAATTAAAAGATTATACAAAATTTAGAAATATAAATCAAGCAATAATAACACCATTTAAACTAAAATTAAAAATTATAAATAATATTATTGATCAAGTTATATTAATTTGATTTTAATACTAATAAATTATTTACTTTTATTTTTAAATAAATACATTAAAAGAAACTTATATTTATTATATGCTTTTTTTATATAATTTAAATATTTAACCTTAAATATATTATTTATATATTTTATGTAATAAAAATATATATTTATATCTTTAATAAATTTAATTTAAAACATTTACGTTTTAAATATATTTAATAGAGAAAATAAAATATAGTCCAAAGTTTACGTTACTTATTAAATAATTAAATAATATTAAAATTATTATGTAATTGCAAAAATAAATTTTTTATATATTTTAAATTGTTTATATAATTTATTATTTTAGATATAATTCTATGTATCTTATATATTTTAAATAATTAATACTAATCAATTTTTTTTTTTAAATTATTCGAGGATATTTGTATATATTAATCTACTTTATTTATAATTTTAAAAATTAAATATTAATATATATTTTGCTTTAAAATAATAAGCGTTATATCATTCATATAAATTAGGGAAAAAAAAAATTAAACACATACAATATAATGAAAATTATTAAAAAAGTAAAAAATATTAAATAAATATAAAAGAAAATAAATCAATAAAGGTATTTATATAATAATTATTTTTAAATTAAAAAAAAACAAATATGAAAGAAATGGTTTAACAGAAAAAAATATTATCATTATTAATAACTATAACACTAGTTTGTTCTTAATAACTATATTAGCCAACTACATAAATATCAAATAGACCTTAATAAAAATTAGCAATACCTCCTTTATCGTAAAAAATAAAAAATTAAAATAAAATAAAAAATAATAGATTGATAACACCGATTTTTACAGTTGATGTTGGAGTAACTTCAAACTGGATAATGAGTACTAAATATACATAAAATTTTGCAGGATCTAATATTCCAAAAACAGTGTAAAAATAATTATTGATGATATAAAAAAAACAAATAATAATAATCATATTAATTTATTATCTATAAAAAAAAGAAAAAATTATATTACTTATTTATATTATTTCTTTTGTGTATTTTTTTTTTATAGAAACTCAATAAAAAAAATAATTCTATTATTCTTTTTTTCCATTTTTTGTTTTTGTTATTCATTGAGTTTCTAAAAAAAATATATAAAAACAAAATAAATAAATAAAACAATAAGAATAAATAATACATATAAATGATTTTATTTTAATTTTATAATCAACATTTTTAAATTTAAAATATTTTTTTTTTTATAAAAAAGATAATAAGCTTAAATTAAACCATAATAACATAATATAGATTATTCCATACCTGCAACTGACAAAACACCATACATCCCTTTAAGATAAACAGTTGATTTAAATTATCCAAATTAAGTGAAAGCTCCTCAGTAATTAAATATATATATATATATATATATATATATATATATATATATATATATATAATTATATATATATATATCTATATACATAATATTTTTTATAAATATAATAAAGATAATTATAACCTACTTTAATAGAATCTTCAAATACCATAATTACACAATTATCAATTGTTACTGCTCCTAATATGTAAAAAATAAAAATATAAACAAACTAAATATTATATTTAATTAGTTAAAGAAAAATTAATGGTGTTGACACACCTCCTAAAGCTGCAAAAGATTTCGGCCCAACCGTTACTCCAAATTTATAAGGTGGTGCAACATGGAAAGAACCTTTAACCTAAGTAATTTTAACAATTTGCACTGTTGGAAAAGATGGAGTTAGTATGTCTACAAGTTCTTATTCTCTTTATGGAACTTATATTGCCCCTACAATTCCCACATAGTCTACAAGTAGTGAAACTATAACTAATACTGTTGTAGAAACTGTTAGATTAAAAATAAATAAAGCTAGCAATTCTATAAATTTGATAGTAGGATTTACTTTTGTTTTGCTACTTAATATTTTATATTGAAAAATATTGAGTAATTTATCCAAAAAAAAAAAAAAAAAAATATTTCTTTAAAGAAGTTTAAAAATATATTATATATGTATCTTTTTTTCATAAACAAAAATAATAAATAATTTTTTTTATAAAAAAAATGTATTTTACTAATAAATAGTAAATATAAATCATTTAAAAAAATTATTAATTAATTAAAAATAATCTTCATATTATCTAATAAATTAATTCCTAGCATTATTATTCTATATAAAATTAAGAAAATTAATTTCTTAAACAAACTGTACTTAAATTTTATTTCCATTACTTTTATTAAATATACTTCCTCCGAAAATTTCTCCTAAAGAACAATCCAAAAGACCAATTTTATTAAGAAGTTCATTACTTTTTAAAGAAATATCGATTTCGCACATAATATCAGCATTAAATTTATTATTATTTTGGAAACTTTCAACAAACTAAAAATGTTTAAGAAAGAAAAAATTAATATTTTAATCTTCTAAATTAGAAATGAGAATATTATTATTATAATCTTTTTTATTTAATGTTTTAATATATTTAAAATTGTTTATTTTTTATTAACAAACAATATTATTTTTATAGTTAATAAAATCTTCTAATTTTAGTGTCTAAACATAATATTCTCCAATCAAAACAAATATTTTTTAATTATCTAGGTTAATTTCACTTCTCATGTATATTTTTTACTCATTTTTATTTAATATTAAATCAAACAAATTCAAATTTTAACCAAATTCAAATTCAAGTTTTATAAGAAATTCTTCTAAAGTATCATTTTTTATAATTTCTATTTATCCTTCTATTTGTTAATTTATTTCTTGAATTCCATAATCTTCGTATTCGTTTAACCATTTATAGTATAGAGATTAGTTATTTAATAAATATTAAAATTCAAATGATTCTTTAGTTTAGTTTTAATTTATTTTTTCTATACTTTTATTACTTTTATATAAATCTTCAATTGATTTTTCATTTTAAACTGATGTGATTTAAGGCGAATCAACACAAGAATAAAATGATTAGTCAGTTAGATTTGATTTTTTTTTGTTAGAAGCATTTTAAATATTTAAAATTAAAGAAGACTTACTTAATTTACGTAAATTTTTATTAATGCTTATATCATCTTCCTCATTATTATTTTCAATATTCTGTTATTTCTATGCATTATTGCTTTCTTCATCTAATAAAATATTTTTTGCATCATCCTAATAGTTCTATTTAAATAGCTCAAGTTATTATTGACTTAAATACTGTTAAGATTATCTTTTTTGAATAATTTGATTAGCCATACTTAATCTATTTTTATGTTATAATATAGATTTAAAATGTTTATTCGAATTTTCAGAAACTAATTATTTTTATTAAATTTCTTTGTGTAAATTTTAGGATAATTTAGCTGAATTTTTAAAAATTTCAAAATTAAAATGCTCTTTTTCATTAAATTAACTATCTTTAATAATAATTTTAATCTTTTAAAAATTTTAAAGTGGAGACATACTTTTCTTACTTTTAAAATATTATTCATTTATTAAAATTAAATTTATTCATTTTTAATTACATTTTATTCATATTGCTTTTCCTATTTTTATTTGAAAATTCTTCTTTTGATAAACTATTTATATTAATTCCTTAAAAAGTTGTTTAATTATTTTTTTATTATTAATTCTAATTATTTACATTTTATAATTCCTTTATTAGATCATTTGCTTCATAATATGGTTCGTCTTTTTTTTCTATAATGATACTTGGTTCATTTAGTTCTGATAATTCTATATGATCTCCGTTACTTTTAAACGAATCTTATTTTTCAATTAATCTTTTATTTAAGTTTTATTTTGTAAAATTTAATATATTTTTATAAATTAGACGCATTGCCCCATATTTATTTTTATTTTTTAATCTTTTACCTTTATTTTGTTTTTTAAAAAAAATATAATATTTATAAAATTTAATATAAATATTTTTTAATTTTTTAAAAATTTCTATATATTTTAATTTTCGATTTTAAAATAAAAAAAAAAAACGAGCTGGACAAGACTTGAACCTGCAACCTTCTGATCCGTAGTCAGATGCTCTACCATTAAGCTACCAGCCCGAATTGTTAAATATTATAATTGAAATTTACTAATAATATTAATTATAATTTTGTTATTTTACGAATAAATATATTTTTTTTATATATATATATAAATTAAATAGCTTTTTAAATATTTATTAAAATATAATTATTTATTTTATTTATATTATTGTATATTTAAATATATTTTTCACACATTCTATAGAATGTCATATTTAGTTTATTTAAAATATTATTAGAATTATTTTTTATAATAATGAGTTTATTTATTCATACAAAATTTTAGAGTTTGTAATATAAAATTCTATAAGAAGTTCTATATTGAAAATATAGTCTTCCTTTTTCTAATTTACTATTTAATTTTGAAAAACTTAATCACTTTTGAAAACAGAATTTCCCTAAATATAGTATTAATAGATATAATAATTTTACACTTATTAAAAGTTATAAGGAATACAAAAAAGTAAAATAAATATAGTTTCATACAGGATTTTAAACTTTTCAATTTAATGAATTGAAAACCTTTATGTAAAAATCAAAATCAAGATATCTAATACTTTCAATTTAACATATTATTATCAATAAATTTATTACACATAATATTTGTTTCTTTTAAATTATAGTAATTTCTATTTTTGTTATCATTTCAAATTTCAAAATATTTTTTAAAATAAACATATCCTTATTTATTTTTATTTATAATTAACATATAATATTAATAACTAATTTTATTCTGAAACTTAACATAACATTTAATTTAATTGCTTTTATATATTTCCAAATTAAGTGATAATTGCAAAAATAAAAAAAAAATAGTTAAATTATTTTTATTTTATGATTTAATTTTTTTAAAAAAAAATAATGAAAAAAACAAAATAAATAAGAACAAATATATAGGTTTTTGATTTTGATTTGCTTATTTATTTAATGTTAATAATTTTGCGATGGATATTGTATTAAAATTTAATAATTTTAAGTAAGAATTACCATAATACTATTTAAGAAAAATTATATTTACCAATAATATATATTATTATCAATTTTCTTGTTTATAAATTTATAATATATTTTATGTGATTTAGTATAAATCCAAAAAGTAAAAAAAGGCAATAATAAAATACTAACATTTTTTCATTTTTATTTTTTTAATATTACACTATAACTTAGATGATTACAATATTTTTTAGCATTTAATATAATAAAAAGATTAATTAATTTTTATTAAAAAAATGTTTTAAAATTAATGAGAGATTTGTGGTAATTATAATTAAAACATAAATTACTTATTTTTTTTATAAAAGTATATGAGTTAGATTGATTTTTAAATAAAGGAATAATTTTAAAAAAGCAATTGCAGAAGAAAAACTTATACAATTTTGACTATATTATTATTGATAATCTTTATATATTTTAATTTATATAAATATAATTAAATTATATATTTTAATCTACTTGCTTATAATTATAAACTATTTTTTTTTTTTGTAGAAGGATAAACAATATTAATTTATTAAACAAAATCGGATATTTTTTGGTTTTTCATATAAATCAAAATTAAATTAAATTTTGATTTTTTTTCAATATTATTTCTAATTCGATTTTATTCTTTAACTAAGTTTTTAAATACTATCTATTTAGTACTAGTACAGTTGATTTGATATAAAAATATAACATAATTTGAATAAGAATTGATATTAAAAGCATTATTTTTTAAATTAAAACTAATTAAAATAAACACAATGAAATAATACTTTCATATTTTATATTACTGTTAGACACTATATTTTTTTTTTTTTCATTAGTCGTTAATAAGTTCATTAACTTTAATTTGATATTTTATTAATATAATTAAAATTATTACTAATAACATTATAAATATTTATTATTTTATTATTTTGTTTAATAAAAAAATAAAATATTAATTATATTAAATATAAATATTATTTAATTTATTTTAATAATTAAAATAAAAAAAAAGTATTAATTAAAATTTAGTAACATAAAAAAATAAATGATAATTACACAATTAGTACAAGCAAATTAAGAAAGAAAATAATAAATAGTATTTATATAATAAAAATATAATTTTACTTAAAAATCACAATAAAATTAAAAGAAAGCATTAGGTTTTGAAAAAATTCCTTCAGAAGAAAAATTTACAGATATGATATAATTTACTATATTTCCATTTTTAAAACTTAGATCTTTTACAACTTTAATGCTTTTTCTAGATATAGTATTTTATTTGGTTTGTCTTTTATATGATAATTTAGATCCAGAAGAAGGTTTTTTAGCTCCTTCATAATTTTCTTTGTTTTAAATAGGAGAACTGTATCCATATTATACTTAATAAGGAGAATTTTAAAGACTCATTTTACCAGTATTTATGCATGTAAATCTTATGCATATATCGTTTAGCCTATTTGTAAAGGCTTATTTTTTGAGTTTTCTTGAAGCTTTTTAAGGTTTTTTAAAAACTCTAATAATATATTTGATTTGTACAACCTTTGGTATTCTTTTTAATAATTTAATATGTGATAGTTTTGGAGTTGGAGGTTCTTTTGGAGTAGGAATTATAGGAATTTGCTTAAATTAAGAAAATGCAATTTTTAAATAAAATTAAAATAGTTCAATGTATGCTTTTTTTTCTAATTCTTAAGAATCTCATATTTTACCTTTTGTAAAATGTTTAGTTTTATTTTTTATTATTTATATAGGAAATTTTCTGTATCCTAGTATTCAAATTTATGGTCACCTTGGAACTTATATAATGGGATTGGCTATTAGCCCTTATTTTTTAAATTATTATTATGAATATGGTACACAAGAAAACCATATAATAAAGAAATATGCTTATTTACCAGGCTTAACATTGTTTTTATTTTCTTTACTTTTTTTCTTTCTTTTAAGAAAACCTAAATATTGATTTTTTTTTAATATTTATTTAATACAGTAAATACATTAATTATATAATGTTTTAAAATAAATAAAAGTTTGAAAAATCCAATTTAAAATTCGTAAATTTGATTTTTCTATTAAAAAAATAATATTTCAAAATAAAAGTAGCAATAAATAATTTAAATAGCAGTTATAATTAAACATATAAAATTATAAATTATTATATAAATCTATTTCATATTTTAGTATTCAACCCTTACTATTTTATAATATCATTAATTTTAATTTATATTTTTAAGATACAAAATAATTAATAATATTAATTTGATAAATTTAATTAAATAACTATTTTATTTTTTTATAATTCTAATATTTTTATTTATAAAAAAGATTTTACAAACTATATATAGATATTATTTATTTTAATATCAATTTATGATAAATATTTAATATATTTTAATATTAGATAATAATGAATACAGATTCAAATAATTTTATGATGAATAATACATATCTTTCTTTAAATAAAGTTATTATATTAAAAAAATAAAAGATGTTAAATATATTAATTAAGTAAAATAAAAAAGGCATTAGAGTTTGTTGGCGATAATTCAAATTTTTAAAAACGAACAATAAGAATATTAGCATTAAAATGGATGTTATTTTCATTTTTTATTATGGGAATGCCATTTTTATTTTAAGAACCGATATTTCTATGCAAATATAATTAAAATGACGAAAAATTTGTTTTGTGTAATTAAATATAAGCATGCACAGAAGCATATTAAGTTGAGATTGACGTAAAAAATAGTCCGAATTCTGTTACAAAAGAATTTAAATTGTATTGTGGAAGAAAATATTTAATAGGAATGTCTCAATCAATGTTTTTTGTTGGAGCAACTGTTGCAGGTTTTATTTTTCCATAATTAAGTGATAGAAAAGGGAGAAAATATGCAATTATTGCTTGTATGTTTTTTAGTTCAGTATCTATTTTTTTAAGCGGATTTTGTTCAAATATTTATTAATTTATGATACTTATTTTTTTTGCTGGATTAGGTTTAAATGGATTCGAAGCTATAAGTTTAGTTTATGTAAGCGAAATTTCAGGTAAAATTCGTTTTTTGTTTCTTTTTTTTATTTATAAAAAATAGCTGATAAATTCAGAAATTATTCAACTGTTATTCTTAATTGTTCATGGGCTATTGCATAAATTTTATATAGTTTTGTTTCTTTGTATCTATAAAATTGGAGATATGTTTGTACTGTGTTTATTGGAATTCCTTCTTTACTTTTGGTTTTCGTTTGTAATAAATCCTTGCTTGAAACCCCGAGATATTTTGTTTCTAAAAATATGTATGAGGAAGCTAGAGTGGTTTTGGATAAAATTTGCTTATAAAATAAAAGACCAAGATTTTAATACAGATTAGAAGGAGAAATGTAAGAAGGATTAGATTATCATCAAAAATAAAATTAATAAAATTTATAAGTACATAATTATAATTATTTAGATTTATTCAGATTTCCTTCATTAAGAAAAATAACGTTATGTATGATGCTTTTGTGGGTTTTCAGATATATAATTTATTACGGATAAACTTTTTCTTTAAGTAGTCTAGGCGCCGAAATGCATTCAAATTTAACTTTTACTGCTATGAGTGAAATTGTTGCTACACTTTTAAGTGGTATGATATAAATTTTATTCATTTTTTTTCTATTAAAAAAAAAAAATATAGCACCCATAAAAATGAAAATGAAAAGAGTTTAATCTTTATTTTGGTTTTCATTAATTACTGGAATTGCATGTGTTTCATTATTTTTTCTACAAATGCCTTCTTAATGCTATTTTTTAGGGTAAACGTGTGTTTAAAAGGCATTAATTACACTATTCGCTATTTTAATTAGATTTGGGATTTCCATATACGGTAACATATTAATTACTTTTACTAGTGAAAAATATCCAACTGTAGTTAGAAGCATAGGTTATGGGTTAAGTATAACAAGTGGAAAAATAGGTAAATTTATAAAATAATAAAAATTAATTAAATAAATAATAAATAAATAGTTACAATTTTTGTTCCTATAATTGTTGTATAGATATTATATTATGAATTAAATCCTTTAGCATTTTTCGGAATAATAGGAATAGTTGTTGCTATTTTAGCTAAGTTTATGAATGAAAGTTAAGGGTAAGAAATGAAAGATTAAATTTAAGAAATGATTGAAAATGAAAACGCGCTTATTGAACTTGAAAATATAGGAGGATTTTCAAACAAAGCTTTAAAATAGAATTTATTAAAATGAATTAAAATTGAAATAAAATAAATTTAAAAAAAAAATATTATTTAATTTTTTTTTAAAAAAAAATAAATATAAAATAAATTTTTGTAAATTTTATAAACTTATATTAAAATTACAAATTAAAAAACCATAGATTTATATAAATATTATAATAAAAAACAATATATATAAAAAGAGTTATAATATTAAACCTTAAAAATCTTTTTATCCATTAAAATTCAATAAAACTTTCATAATTAAAATTTATAAATTTATCAATACCTAATTTAACTAAAAGAGAATTATTTTCTAAAGGTGTAAGCTATTAAATTTATTAGTAAAAATTTAATAATGCTAATTATAATATCATTATTATAATATTATACAAATGCACTTAAAGTATCGGACCTTTCATAACCCTAGAATAATTTTTTCTTAATGAAAAACTTATAAAAAGTAAAAAGGCTTCTAAATAAAGGTCCAATAGAAAAATCAGCGTAAGTAAGTTCATTTCCTTCAAATAGGATTGCTTATTTACTTATATTTAATACTCAATTTATCAATCAAAAGTTAAATTTTGAGTAAGTTTATAAGTTACTTTTTCAATTTAAGCTTCATCTTTTTTACTGATAAGCAGTAATTAAATTCCATCGCCAAAATCAAAAACATAAATTCTTTCATTATTGTGCTTTTTTTATATTATCTGTGGGGAATATTGTTGCGTATTAATTTTCTAAATATTTTAATATAGCTAAACTTTCATATATATCTTATCATTTATTTTTAAACTTGTCCTTAGACCAAAATGATTTATCATTATATATTTGGGGGGGTTGGGGGGGAGAATTTTAATAATTTTTTAATAGGCAAAGTTCTTTGTAGGAATAGCTTTAAATGCTCTAATGCAAATTTTATTTTATTAGCAAAAGAACATATTAAGTAAGCGTTCATATAAAAGTATTTTAGAATACGATTTTTTTTTTTTTAATATTTATTATTTAATGTATTATTGTATTTTATTTAGATATGATTTTTTTTTCTTTTCTATATATATATATATTCATGAAAAAATTATCTTCATTCATTTTTTCAGTAAATAAATAAATAATTTATAATTTTATTTCATAAATAATAATGTATTATATTGTAAATAGTTATAATTCTTAACTTAAATATTTTATTTTACATAATAATAAATTTATGTCAATAAAAAGGTACGATTATTTTTATGATTTTTTAAAATTTTTATTATTAGTTTTTAATTTGAAGAAAAAAATAATTTTTATTAACAGAATTAACTAATATTTTATTTAGAAAGTATTTATAAAAATTCAAATTAAATATAATATTTATTTAAGTTTAATAGTATGTTATATAAGAAATAATATCTAATATCTTTAAATAATTATACAAAAATTTATAGTACATTTGACATTTTTTTCAATTTTAAAATAAAATTTAAATTTGATTAATTAATACAAATTTTAAAAATATCAAAAAAAATATAGTTAAAATTTATAATATTGGAATAAACAACTTTTTTATGTATTTTATTATATTCACACACTATTTTAGTTTGTTATTTTATTAGATTATTTTTCTTTGAATTTTTTTTTTTTTTTTTCTTTTTTTTCCTTTTTATCTTTATTTAATTCTTTGTTTTTTTTTCCTTTTAATTAATTATCATTATATTCTTTTAATTCATTAAGCTTCTTCTCCAGGAAAACATTACTATTTTCCATTTATTCATTTAACAATTTCTCCCACTATAAAAATATTTTTATTTTTTATAAAAATATATACAAACATTTATTATTAAAAATAATTATAAACTCTTTCGTCTTCATCTATAATATATTTTTATTTTTTAATTTCTTATATGTTTTCATATATTTTTTCAGTTCTATCTTATTTAATTTATGCAAGTTTTTTTTCTTATTCTATAATCTTTTATTCCTCATCAGTATATTATCTAAATTCTCCCCATCCTCTCCCATCTGGGCCTGATGGTTTATATAATTTGTCTTCGAATCCTTCAATTCCTTCTTCTTCTTTTAATTAAAGATATTCTTTAGGGGGTCTATATTTAGAAACATGGTTAACTCTAATAATTCTTCCACAAAGAGCTATTCCATTGAAATTGTTGACAGCTAAAATTGTACTTCTTTAATCAACATAAGCCAAAAAACAGTAACCTTTACTTTTTCCTGTTTTTCTATCTCTTACTAATCTTACATCAACAATTTAACCCCATTATGAAAAAGCTGTAGAAATGTCGCCTTCATTCATGTCAAAATTTAAACCTCCAATAAATATATAAGCACTGTCTTTATACTTAAAATAATTAATATTTATTTTTTATTTAGTTTTTTTTAAAAGATAATATTTATTTTTTACATCTTAATGCCATGAAGCCTCTGTTTCTATTCCTTATTATAGTTCTTTTTCAGAATATTGTTGAACTTTTACCATATTATTCATTTTTAATAAATTTTATACTTTTATTAATTTTTAGTTGATAATAAATATGTTTTCAAAATAATTATAATTTTTTTTATATACAAACTATTAAATATTTTATATAAAATTAGATAATATTGAAATAAAATCAATATTGGATTTAATAATTTTTAGACTAATATTAATTATTTATTAAATTTATATTGTTAAAATTTAAATACTTCTAAATTAAATTGATTTTAACAAAAAAAAAATTAATTAAAACTATTCTTTTTTAAATAAAAATATTAAACTTTCGTAATATTATTATTTATAGAAGTATTTATTTATATTATATATACATTTTTTAATTTAATATTTATTTAAATATAAGAAGATATAAATTAATTTTTTATTGAATATATTTATAGAAATATAAAAATTTAACAATAAATTAAATTAAAAAATAAAATATTTTTTATTGATATAATACATAATAATAAAAATAAAAAAATACATAAATATGTTAAATATCATATTGCTTATTTTTAATAAGGGGCTTTATAGCAATATTATGATGTAACTTAGCAATTTAAAGTGCTTAGTTTTTACAAAAGATTAGATTTATCCCATCCTACATCAGTTAAACTGATATTAATTTCAGTATTATCATTAATATTATACCCATTCTTTAGAAGTTAATAAACATAAGTAGTCATAAATAAGTTATATTATAAGTATTTTGCTTATTCGTTCGGATATTTTTTTTAGGCGCCATCCCAATCTAATGTATACAATTCTTTAAGTTTATTAAGAAAATCAGAAAGCTTAAAAGTATTAGTAAATTCAAGGAAATTTGCCGAAATTTAAATACTACTTACAGCATATATTTACATATCTTTATTTAATTAAGATTGATATTAGTTTCCAATAGAGCATTCATCTTTACTTTTAAAAGCACAATCATCTTTATTAACTTTTAGATACTGTAGTATTTTTTCGCTACATTATGTATAAATGCCTGTTCCTTCAACTTAAATATCCTAATTTTGGCCATCAGTTCCTTTATATCCTTTAAAATAGCAAGGCGAAACATAATTTTAGCTTTTAAAGTAATCCAAAACCTAAAATCTTGCTTAATCGTTACCATATTTCAAATATGATTTTGAATATAAATGATAATAGTTATATCTTGCGATAAACAAATCAAAATCGTTTTATTTAAGTTCTTCTTATTTTTCATTTGGAGAAAATGCTATTTAAGTTGAAGCTCCTCCTAAATCGATTACTGCAACAGTATTTTTATCATCTTCTATGCTTTTAGTTAATTTATTTAAATCATAATTAACACTCATCCATAAATAAGCTCCTTCTTATTCACCAGATAATACTCTTGCCCATTCCTTTTAAGATTTAGGGTTTTAGGAATTAGGAAAATAATATCCATATTTATTTTTAGAAAGTTAATTAATACATTCATCCATTATCTCATTTTAATCCTTTTCGGGAATCAAACGCATTCCAGCAGTTGCTCCTAGTAAAACAATTGTCTTATTAGCTTAAGCTTAAGGTATTACTTTTTAGGTAATACCAAATATCTTTTCAAATAGGTTTCCTAATGTGTTTGTTTTTCCAGCATAATCGGATAGTCTTTCAGGCAATTTATTTTTTAAAGTTGGATTTTATTTTATTTTTGGAATTTCCGAATAATTTAAACATTCCCATTCATAAACTATAACTTTTGTGCCAGATGAACCTGCATCGATTGATATTCCATAACATATTGGAACAGGCTATTATTACCTTAAGTTAAATGAATGTGAAATTGTGAAAATGTTTATAAATAATAAAATAAAATTTATTTTCATTTTTTTATTTATAAAAGATATATTTCTATAAATATGGATATAAAATTATGATTAATTTTAAATTTTAAATTAAAACATAATTTAAAATATTTACTTTTATATATATTAAATATAAAATATATTAAAATTTTAATCAAATATAATAGTAATGTAATATTTACTTAGTTTTTATATATATATATTTTGACATATTTCTAAGCTTTTTGTGTTTACTATTTTTTTATAATTTTTATTCATATTTGTTTAATTTATATAAATCAAATAATTATAATAAAAAAAACCAATCATAATAATAAACTTAATTATTTTTACATCAATTAGTAATAAAAGAAAAACTATTAAAAAAAATACGATTATAAAAAACATATAGATTTTTTAATATTTATATATATTTAATTCATATTTTTAAATTAATTTCATTCTAATTCTTATTCAATTGCTTTTCTTAATTCGTCTTTTTATATATTTTAAAAAATAATAAAGTTATAAATATAAACCTTCATCTATTTCATCATTATCTTTTAATTTGCAAGAAGTTTCATCTAATAATTCACTAAAAGCTTTATCGGTAATAAGTTCTATTTATTTTTTAATTATCAATAGTTTATAAAATACAATTATAAATAAAAAACCTGTTTGTTCCTATATTTTATTGGTATTTAATTAAGTTGCAGTAATTGTTGTCGTAGTTTTAGTTTTTAAATATTAAATTTCAGCATTATATTTCTCTTCTTTTTTTTCAAATTTTAAATTTCTCTCATCAAGTTATCTATTTCCTAAAAATAGTTTATAATTTTAAATTATTATTTATAATTTATATAAAATTTATTGCTTGTTGTTATTATTTAATAGTATTATTTTTTTCATTAAGTTCTTTTTCGTCATCCATTTTGGTTTATACAACTAAATTTTCTTCATCCTCATTATCATTACTCTATATTAAAATTAATAACTATTTTTAAAATTTATTATACCCTTTTTTATTTTTTGTTTTTATCATTTTTATAGCTTTTCTAGTTATCTTGTTCATCTCTATTCCTTTAGCCAAGTATATATGATACAGCTGAAACAATTACAATAAATATTAACTATAAAAACTCCATTTAATTTTTCAAATAATTATATTTTATTAACTTTTTTTGTTTTTAAACGTTTTTTGTTATAAAGTTTTTATATAAAAAAAAGATATATAATTTTGTATAATTAATTAAAATAATAAAAATATAGATTTATATTATGACTCATTTTAATAATTTGTAATTGTTTAATCATAGAATAGACTTTTAATCTTGATTAAAAAAGAAATTTAAAAGCAAATTATACTAAACATTCAAATATAAGGTAAACTTTCGGTTATAATCTTATCTATCTATTATTAAAAAATTATAGTAATTAATACCTTAATAGCCTTAATAAATGTTAGTCAAAAATACTAGTATTATTTTATATAGGTTTACAATTATATTTTTTTTGTATTATGATAATTAAAATGTCATTTAAATAACTTTTTGTATTTAAAAACATTTATTAAGATAATAATCTATATGTTTTGAATTATTATTAATATAAATTTCAAAATATAAAATGTATAACTAAAAGATAAAAAATATATATATAAATTTTTATGAATATTTTTCTTTACAAAGATAAAATAATTGTCTTTTATTAATTTATAAATATAAAACATAATTAATAACGAATTATATATATAAAAATAATCATATTATTCCTTAAAAATGATTATTTTTTTAAATAAATACTATGATATTTAGTAATTAAAAGTAAAAAAAAATAATATTTCGACTAACAAAAATTATTATTATTTATATATATTAAAACATATATTTTTTTAATAAAATCAAAAATATTTATAACTTGAATTATTTATAATTTATTAAAAAAATTAATTAAGTTTTAACAATATTTTAATATTGATAATTTTTAGAACTATTTACTGTCTTTTTATTAAAAGAAACTAATCAATATATAATCCAAATTATCTAAAAAATTAAATAATGGATAGATGATTAGCGCCTAATAATTTTTTGTATAATGCTTTATTACTTAAGAAAAAAAAAATGAGAGTTCATGGGAAATATTATAAAAATCTTCATAAAATATATAATTAATAATAGTTTAATAATTTATGAGATATTTTTCAAAAATTTAATATTTAAATAATCAATAGAAGAATGAATAACATAAAATGTTAGAGAAAAAGCATCAATAATTGAAATTATTTAAGATAAAATATTATTGCATTAAAGTCAATTAATTAATTAAAAAAAAACTGATAAATCTATAAATGAGATATATATTTTATTAATAAGAAAGTGAAATAAGCCTTTATCAGTTACTAAAATATCTGAATACTACTCTATAACTAATCAGTATATAAGTAAAATTATATTTTTTTAGAAAATTTAGAAAAATAAGCAGGGAAGAAGCTATAATAAATTTGTATTGGTTATTTTTGAAACTACTAGTTTATACTCAAAAAAAAATATTGAAGAAGATAAATATAAAATTTATATTTAATATTTTATCGATAGAGTATATTTTTAGATTTATTAGTTTTTAAAAATATAACTTTAAAGGAATATATATTTTTGGTTAATTAATCTTCTAATAATTTTTTATATTGTTAAAACTAATCAATAATGAGTCTAAGCATAATTAAAAGTAAAGAAAATTAAGAAAGCTATATTTTGAATAATTGCAATACAAAATTAAGTGTTTTATGCAAAAGTAAGTGTATAAGGAGAGGAATCAATAATTGTTAAAAATCATATTATTTTAAATGATATTTATGTTTAAAAATAATATATTTAATAAAATTAAATAATGTTAGTATTATCCATCTAAATTAAAATTAGATATTGAAGATTAAAAAATTAATTATTTAGAAAAAATAGCATTTTATAAATAAAAAAAAATAAAAACTCGAAAAATATATGTAAAATCTTAATCAATTTTATATTGAATTAAATGATAAAAAAATTAATTTTAGTTTTTTTTAAAATTAATATTTTATAAGCAATAAGTCTTATAAATTTTTGTGTTTTATTAAATACTTGCTATTTATATTTTTTATAACTCAAAAATCTACTTTTATAATAACACCTACGCTATCACCTCCTTTTCCAGAATATTGATTAGTTAAATTTTTAATTTTCTTTTGTTCTTCGTACCAAATTTTCATCTAAAATTAATATTTTATTGCATTAAAAATTTAATTTTATTTACCTTAATATCTTATTCTGTTTAAAAATCATCATTATTACCAGGATTTTCTGATTTTATTCTGTAAGAAATTATATCTTATTTTAATTATATTAAAAATAAAACTTTAAATGTAAAAACCTTAATCTTTAATTAAGTATGGTGGTTTTTTTAAATTTATTTGTTTTAATGACTTGCTTTTGTTATTATTACTATTATCTTAACTTTCCTAAATTTCTTATTTAATTTCTTACCATTGAAATTCGTAATTAAAATATTTTGCAATATCAAATTAATTTTCACCTAATTTTATTTTTTCTGCAATAATTTATTTTAAGAATTCAACTGTTAAAACTTATTATTTTTAAAAAGACAAAATTATCTCAATATTTGTATTTTCATATTCTCGTTTCATACAATTTCTTTTCTTTAAATGTAATAATATATCATTTGTTTTTAATGTGTCTTCGTTATCTAAAATCTTTGAATTTTTTTTATATATTTAATATAATTCTAAACAATCTTAATATATATAATTTTATATTAATTATTACCTAAACAGCAATATTATTTGTTGAGAAAATACATTTTTTTACTTATTTATCATTTTCCTTATGTATTTAACCTAACGTACTGTCTTTCTTAATATCCATAATCCTTAAATATTTATAATTCTATATAATAATAAAAAAAAAGTTAATTTTTTTTAATTTTAACAATATTGATTTTTCTTTATTGTATCTTATCTTATACATCAGGAATACTCATAATCATTTCTTTAAGTTATTTAATTGATTCATCTTCTTTTAGTTTGATATCACCGACACTTTTGAGGTCATATATATCTTAAGATTAACATAAGAAAATACTAAATTTTTTAAATTCTTTGCTGATAGGCTTTTTATAAATTATAAATATAATAAAAAATAATTAAATACTGATAAAATATCTCTTAAAACTAAAACTTCTTATTATTTAAACATACTATTTCTAATAATTTATTTTTCATTATTTAATAATTATATAGGATCTTCTAACCAATCTGTTTTATAAAGTTTATGGTTATTAGGTTCTAAATTTAGTTATTAACATGCAAATATTTTACTTAAAAAAAAAAAAATTATAAAAATAAAATAAAATTAGCTTTTTTACATATCTTCAATTGTTTTATCAACTGATAAAATAACTTCAATAGTATTAAACTTATTTTATTGAGAATAACTTGACTAATTTATTATTTTTATAGGAATATTCCCAGATACTGGTATTTCACCTCTTTCAAATTAAAGTCTAACACCTCCTTCTGCATAACCCAATTCTTCAAGTGATAAGCAATATTCATTTTAATAATAAAGTTGATTATTTTCTAATTTCCTTAATCTTCTTTGCTAGTCTTACGCTTTAAATTATTCTTTTAGATAATCAAATAATTATTATAAATTCATTGATTTATAATCAATAACTATTTATTTATATAATAAAATTTAATAAAAAATTTATAAATACATAATCTATTTATTCCATTTTCGTCAGAATTTTAAACTAAAATAGAAACTAATCCTTAAATAATTTATTATTCTTATTTTTCTTGTTATTTAGCTACTTTTTATTTGGAATTGTCTTAATATTATTAATCTAGTTCTTATAAAATTATTTCATATTCATCTATTATTTTTAAAAATTATAATTATTAATCATCAATGCTAAAATCATTTAAATCTTATTTTATATTATGAGTAGTTAAATATATTTTATTTGATTCTATGCTAAATTCATCACTTAACTTCTACTTTAATTCTTTTAAAAGACTATCATTATATACCATTATTTAATTTAATTTTCCTTTATAAAAAATATTTAATCTTATAGGCAATCGACCCTTATTTTAAATACAAAATTGATATAGTAAATTATCTTTTTTTTTCTCAAAATAAATCCAATTCGATAAATGATAAATTTCTTAATCTTTTATTATTAAGTCCTTATTTGAAAAAATAAATATATTTAATTAAATAATTAAATACTTATTCATTTTTATCAAATACATTTAAAATTTAAATTAATTTGTTATTACATTCAAATAATTCGACTAAAACATAATCTTCTATATTAAATTATTCTATTTATTAAAATATTTACTAAATTTTATCATTTATTCTGACTTTTATTATTAGTTATTAATTTTAATCATAATCTAAATTTATTTTATTGTTTATAACCTATTTTTATTTTAAATAAATTTAAAACACTTTAAAAAATAAAAATAAAACATCGTATTTTTCTTTTGAATATATATTTAATTCTAAATTATTTAAGGCTTCTTAATATATTTATCTTTCTTGTTCATTTTTTAATTTTCTTCATCAATTTTTTATTGAATATATGATGGGATTTTAGGTTATGGTAAATTTGAATTTAAACTTTTTTCCTATAAATTAAAATATATGCACTTTCGTTTCCAGAACCTCCAAATTATTTCTGAAGTCTTTAAACTGGTATAGATTATACGATTGAATCATTAAAATCATACCAATTTTCTGCTAGTTTTTTATTTAAAAGTTAATAGGAAAGTCATTATCATCAAATTCATATTCATCTTAAAGTTTATTTTTCTGATTTTTATTATTTTTAGAATTTTCTTAATTTTTTATTTTTGCTCATTTTTTATTTTTGCTTTTAATTTCTATTTTATTATTATTTCTATTAAATTTATTATTCTAACTATATTTATTATTTTTCTACTTTTTATTTTAATTCATTTTATTCTTATTATTATTGTTCCTATAATTTAGACTGTTCTACTTGTACTTCTTTCATTTATTTAATTCTCTTTTACTTTTGTTCATGATATTTTTCCATCTTTTTATTCCAATTTCCTTCACATAAATAATCTCTTATGTAAGTAAGATAATGTCCTATATATGAATATATTATAAAATAATATATATATTTATTAATTAAAATAAACCTCCATGTGCACTTCCTCTATGAATTAATACTGTAAATAATTCATACATATAATCTTCATCTTGAACATCAGTATCTTCTAAATAAGGAGTTGCATTTAATTCAAGCCCGAATTTAAATTCTGAATCAATTTTAACTCTTTAAAATTTTTCAAAATCGAATTCAAATCTATTTAAACTTAAACTTAATATTTCAGGGAGCTTTCTTATTTTTTATCCTTTTAAAGCATCGTGCTTTTTTTTTTTTTAATTATTTTTTTTTTTAAAAAAAATAAGGATTAAATACTTTTTGTTAACAATTTTCACAAAAATATTTATTGTCACCTTCTAATATTTCGGGAGTTATAAAAGCCATTAAACTTTCTTCAAGTGATTTTATATCTTTTACTTATAATATAATATCAAAAAATGGTTCTTCCCTTTCTTTTGCAATTTGGCAATTCATACAAGTTATATGATTTACAAGTGTTCCTTTATAAAACTTTGTTATTTATTCGCTCATTTATGTTCCATATAAAGCTCTTTCTAAAACATCAAATATTACTCTATTTGCTTCTTAAATATCTTATTGTTAAAAGCATTCTTTTGATTCCCATCCAAAACTTTTAGTAAGAGTTTCTGTGCTATAAATATTTATTTTCACATTTTTATATAAAAATCAATATAAATAACCTTATGCTCCTAGAATTTAATCCTTACAATTGACCAAATAATTCCTAAAAAGAGTATAATATTTTATATTTGCTTTCCTATTCTACAAATTTCATATTACTTTCTTTCTATTTATTTTTTTTAAATATAAAACTCAATTTTATATATATTTCTATTTTATTAACGTCTAATGGTAGCTAAAATATTATATCCCGTAATTCTGGTGACATAAAAAGAGCTTAAATTAGACTATTTAAATAACATGTTGCACCTTGATTTTTTAAACCTACAAAACCATATTCTTCTTTAGGTTATGGAGGTAAATCTAAGTATTAAGCGTAATTTTTTCCTCTCCTTTAATATTAATTTTAAACACAAGTTGCATTTCCATTTAAAATATCATCTGGTTCATCAAACATTCCTTCCAACATCTTTCTTTAAAGTATTTTTTGTTTAATTATATTTTTTTTTTTTGGATTTTTCGTAGTTTTATATATATTAATAATCTTTTATTTTTTAATAAATAAATAAAAATATATAAATATATTATTTTAATAATATATTTTGTATTATTCTTATAATATCATTTCTATAAGATTATGTTATTATATATTATATTGATCTTATATTGTATTGTTGGTATATAAATTTAAATATTTAATTTATATTCTTTAAAGTAAAATTTCTGTATAATTAAAATGATAGTTTTATTATTTTAATAATATTTGACAAATAATTTTATTTCAAACTTAAATAAATATTAATAAATGAATGATTTTTTTGTTTAAAAAAAATAATATATATTTATAAATTACATATATATGCGAAATTTATATATAAATTTTAAAAAGCTGTTTTTTTCATTAAATGTATTCGAAATTTTTTTGATTATTAAACCTATTTGTTTCTCAAAAAAATCGATTTTAAGAAAAATTTAAATAGCTAGCTTTTGTTATTATAGTAATTTAAGCAAAAATATATTTTATTTAATGTACATTATATTGTAATACTTACAAAATTTTAGTTTGCTTTGTTTAATTTATCTTTGAATCAAAAAATTTCGATAAACTTAAAATATTTTATTTATTAATTTTGATAAATTATAATAGAAATAATAAGAAAAATATTTTCGAATTTAATACAAGTAAGTCTAGAATAAAAATTCTTAGTCTTTGATATTTTTCGTTTATTTATTAATTAAAAACGTTATTTCAAAAAAAAAAATGTCAAATTAAAAAACTAAAATACCTATTAATATAACAATGTGATAATGGCATATAATTATTAATTTTAATAATATAATTTTATTCCATTTGAAATTTTTCTAATTTAATATTTTATTTTTAGTTTAATTAAAAAATATATTTATTAAAAGCTATAAAATACCATGATTATATAGTTATCGTTTATTCGAATTAAAAAAAGAATACCGTAAAGAAATATAGTAGAAATTATAAAAAAACTTAATATTTAAAAAAAATTATTAAATCTAATTCCGGAATTTAATATAAAATAAATTTTATTTTATATGCGATGGTCTTTATATTTATAAAAACACCTCAATATTTTTTTTTTTAAATGTAGTTATTAATTTAAGGTTTTATATCTATTTAAATAATATATTTTTTTAATCGCATTTTAATAAATTGTTGTAAATTTAATAAATTTTTATTCTATAAAAATAATATATATTAAAATAAATATTTTATAATTTCCTTTCTTATTATTAAATTTTGTTATTTTAATAATACCAATTTGGATTATATAAATAAACTAAAAAAAAAAAATAATAAAATAAAGTAAAGTAATCTTTATTATTAATTTCTTTTTTACTAATCAATTCATAATTTTTTAATTAAATTTAATAAATATTCACATTAGTGATCGTAATGTTTAATAAATATGAATAAAGATTAAATCAATCAAAATAAAAATTTTAAAAATGAAACTACATAATAGTTTTAAAAAAATATTAATTTTAAAGAATACATAAACTAAAACATAATAAAATAAATATATAATTAAAACATTTTATTAGATGGTATATATTATATTTAAACATATTTTTTTAATTAGTTTTAAAACTATTCTTTTAATGTTTAAATTTTTTTTTTATTTTAATATTAAAATATATATTCATGACATAAGAAAATAAACTTGGATAAATCAATAAATAGAATATCAATTACAAACAAAAATAGGAAAATAATTAAATGTATATAACATCTCATATTTTTTAATTTATTTATAAAGTTCTAAATAATAGCATTATTATGATTAAAATAATAGTTAAAATAATATAATTATTTGTATGAAGATAATAATTTGTAATTAGTATCGCCATGAGAAAAATAGAAACAAATTTAGAAAACTAGTCAAATCAATTACAACTTTTATTTTCTTATGAAATAGCAATAAAATATTTAAATTTAGTTTTGATGTTAAAATATTGAATAGTTTAAATTATCTAAAAATAAATAAAAGAATAAAAATATTATAAATAAATTATGTATTTATTATATAAAATTATTTTTCTTATTTTTATTTTAATTTATTAAAAAAACAAATGAATTTTAATTAAATATTTCATTGTTTTATATGATAAAAATATATGTTTTTACTAATTTTTTTTAAAAAAATAAGTTTTTTAAAAAATAATTTGAACATATATTATATTTATACAACTAAATTTAGTATTTATATTTTTTAATTTTTGCTAATTTATTAAAATAATTAATACATAAAAATAGAGGTTAAAAATAAAAAAATAAAATGTCTTAAAACGAAAATTATTAAGATTTAATAAAATTAAGATAAGAAAATACTAAAAAAAGCTAAGTAAATTAAATATACTTACAAATACACATTAAAAATTAAAAAAAAAAAAAAAAACAAACAGAAAGATAAGAAAAGAAAAGTTTTAGAATTTAAATTTAGGGTACTTGATTTATTAGAAATATTTATAAAGAAAACAAATAATCCAGAAATATTTTTACTTTGTATTCAATAATTTTTTGAAACAATACGTCAAGATAGAAAGAACATAGAAAAAAGTAATTTAGTTGATAAAATATGTTTGATAATAAGAAAATTTTTTGAGAGAAATCTGAAAATAATGCCTGAATATGCAGGAAATGTGGATGAATGTTTTGCTGAAACAATAAAGTTACTACAAAAAGAGCAATCCAAAAATATTATAAGTAATTTAACATTCGCTGCTAAAAATCTAATAAAAATTAGAACTTAATTAAGTATTTCTTCTTCTTATAATACTATAATATAATCATTATAAATAGTAATAAATATATTATTTTAATTTATTATATATATATATATATATATATGAAAATAAAGTCTATTTAAAAATCTGCTTTAAAAGGCTGTTATGCTTATAGTGAAGATTTTTATAAAGAAATAATTCGTGAAAACGCTGAAAAAATAGGATTCTATTTATTGCCTACATTACTTAAATATTCTAAAAGTCATTAAAACGGAGGAGCTAAAGATAGATATAGAAATATGATTTTAAATTTACTGAACTATGCTTTAAATAATAAATAAATTTAAGTACTTTTTAAAGATAAAATAGATGATTTATGGCCTTATTTAGAATAATTAGTTGATATATTAGAACATTGTGAAGAAATTAAGAAAAAATAAGTTTCTATCCTTAATAAATATGTAACCATTTTTAATCAGATTTTGAAAATATTGAATGAAAATGAAAAATTACAATAGACATTATTAAAATTTAAAAGTTTATTAAATAAATAAAAACATAATCTTTCTGATAATATGCAATAAAAATTAAATTTATGATTTTATGTTAAAATCGTTTTTATTTTTATATAATATATTAAATTTTAAGATTATTATAACTTTATTTATATATTTTTTCTTTTATTTATATTATATAATTATATTATTTATTATAAAAGATATAATTAAATAATATTTGTCTTATATTATTATTAAATAATGATTATTTTTTTTAATTACATAAAAATATAATATAATTCATTAAAATTAAAATATAGGAGGTTAAATTATAATTTTTAATACTTATTAAAAATTAATAATCCAAATAAGTAAATAAAAAAAGTTTTGTTTAAAATAAAAATTACTTTTAAAAAATAGAATATATTTTTTGATTGTAATTTTATATTAATATTTTTTACAAAACATTTTATTATTATTTTATTTATACAATTTTAATAAACATAAATATTAAAAAAAAAAAAAGATATTTTTGTTTAATTAATTAAGGGGTGTGGTTGGGACGGAGACAGCACTAAGTGCACGTCTCCACTGACAGAAATTGTGCTGTTTCGGTTCCCCGAACGGGGAACAATAAGGTATTACAGACATCTTTTGTGCAATGACCTGCTCCACCCTAAGTAGCCATCCTTCGTGATCGATAGCTCACTCCAGCCAGGTAAGTGAAATTTTTTTCCTTTTGCAAATTAATTTTACTATTTATATAATTTGTTAAAATAAAAATTTATGGGTTTTCAAAAATATTATAATTTTAATTAAAATAATAATATTTAAAAATAAATATATTTTTATCAATAAAATAGATATTTTTTTTAATAATTATTTTATATATATTATTTTTATTTTAACACTATATTTATTTTTATATAATTATATATTAAAAATCCAATTAAAACATAAGACTATAATTAATTTTTATTTTGCCTTTTAATAGATTGTGTTTTTAAATAAAAATTACATGAATAATAAAAAATAAAAAAAAGTAATATATATAAATATTTTTAATTTTGAAATATTTTAAAAAATAAGATAATTAAAAAATTGAGTTTTTGATTTAAATTATTACTTATCTTTATATTCATTATTTTATAATTTGTCAGTTTGATTTTAAATTTTTTAGATACATGTTATCTTAATAATAAGATAAATTATAATTTAAAAAATACTGTAGAATAATTAAATTATTACAAATTAAGATATAATTTAACACTTAATTATAATTAATAATCTTAAAAATTAGTAAAAAGTAAAAGGAAGTAATTAAAAAAAAAGTATTCACTAAAATAATATAATTAAAAAAATATATATATAATAAAATGGAAAATTAACCTAAAATATATTATTTATTATTTTAATTAGAAATAAATTAAAATATTATATATAAAATCTTTTTAATTAATATAATAAATATATTTTTAATATATATATATATAATTAAATTATGTTTATAATATATATAATTATATATATATTATTAAAATATTTTTTTTTTTAGAATATAATACAATAAATAATTTATTCTTTACATAATATTATATAATTCATCTATATATATATATAATATTATTTGTGTAAATTTCAAGATATATTTAATTTAATTAATAAAATTAATAAAATTTATTGTTAAATGCAAAATTTTTTATCGTAAATGTTCTTATTTTGGCTTATTATTTATTTTAAATCTAATTTTCATTAAATTATTTTTTTAATACAAGTACAACATAACTAGAAAATAAAATATATTATTTTAAATATTTATAAATCGTTTTATTTTATAAAAGAAATTCATTAAAATACAAATAAATAAAAAATATAAGATAAATTTACTATATATAATATTTAATTTAATTATTTATATATATATATTTTATATATATATATATATAAATATATACTCTAATTTTATATTAATAAAAATTATTATAAAAGTAAAATTAAGTAAAACAAGATAAAAATGTTTGAAACAATAATACATAAAGTACTAAGTTCAATTGCTGGAGAATATATATAAGGTTTAGATTCTGATAAACTAAAAATTGGTATATTCTCTGGAGATGTAGAAATTGATAATGTATCTTTAAATCCTTAAGTTATAGAAATGTTAGAACTTCCTTTAAACTTGAGATTTTCTAAGATTGGTAAGCTAATTTTAAAAGTACCTTTTAAAAACATAGGTTCTAAGCCAGTTGAAGTATATTTAGATGGGCTTTATTTGTTATTAAACCCTAAGAATTAAAGTGATTGGACATTCAAAGACTATAAAGGGTTGTAAACAAAAATAAGTCAAATAGAAACATTTATAGCTGAATGTGTAAAAAAACTTGCTGCAAAGCAAGTAGCAAAAGCTAAAGTTGAAGAAGCCAATGCTGGATATGTCTAAAAATTAACAATGAAAATAATTGATAACATTCAAATATGTGTAAAAAATATTCATGTAAGATACGAAGACACTATTACTAATAAATACTCTTGGGGGTTCAGTCTTGATAAGATAGATATATTTACTACTAATAAAAATGGAGAAAAAGTATTTGTTGATAGAACTTTATCGGAAAATAAAAATGAATCCATGAGAAAATTACTCATGATTTCCAATGCTGGAATTTATTGGAATGCTAAAGAAAGCTAAATGATTTCGTATTAAGATGATAAAATAAAAGTTGAAAAAATGGCAGGAATGATTTTGCGAGAAGGTCAAGAAAAAACTCAAGAACCGGTTGAGTTCTTAATTAAGCTAAGTTCTTAAATTAAACTGAATATGAATAATAAAGGAGATTTTAATAAACCTGAAATTGATGTGATTTTTTATTTATAATATTAATTAAAATTATCATATCTTATTTTTATATTTATATTTTTATTAATTTTATTTTTTTATATTTTTTATTTATTTATTTTTTGTTTATATTTTAATAGGTTTCTCTTAATGTTGAAAAGATAAACTTACAACTTTCTCAAAAACAACTTTAGTAAATTATTATGCTTACGGAATTTTTCTCTAAATATTCAACCTAACGTTAGAAAGAAAGGAAAAATGAATAGTAAATCAGTAAAGAAGAAATAGCAAAATAGGAGGAAATATTTGCGAAGTATTTAATGAAAAGATTAACTAACGAAAAAGATAAGTCGCTTACTTGCTTATCCATAAGTGAAAAATCTGAATACGAAAATTCAATAATTGTTTTAGATATTGAAAATCTCTTTAATTAAGCAAAAAAAGTTGTACTTGAAGCATAAAAAGAAATGAAAAAAAAAGAAATGGAAAAGAGAAAATCGGAAGAAAAAAAAGGCTTTTTCGGAAGGTGGTTTGGAACTGGATCTTCATAAGAAGAAGCTGAAAATATGCTATCAGAATAAGATAAGTAAAAAATTAAAAAAAAATTTAAAGAAAATAATAAAAAAAATAGAACTGAAATTCAATAATTTGTAAATGATAATTTCGGAACTGATGTAATTGATGCTCCTGATATTATTAGACCTAAAGAATATGTATATTTAATAATAAATTTCAATTTATAAGGTGCAGGTATTATTTTGAGCAATAAAATTGGAGATGAAATATAAAGTTTAGAATTTTCATTAAATTCAATAGGCGGATCACTAAAATTAAGAGAGAATAATATGGAATTGGATGTAAATTTAGATAACATAGAATTAAATATGATTGATTATCATATAAATTTAAATCAAGAGAAAAAAATAAGCATTTTAAGTCCAAAAATAAAAAATTCTAATAAGCCTTTAATAGAATTTAAGTTAGAATAAAAACCAATTTCTAGGCCTCATATTGATTAAGAAATAACTGTTTATATGAGGTCAGTTCGTTTTGACTATAATAGTAGGTTTGTATTTAGAATACAGTAGTTTTTCGATGTTAAAGTTTCAGATTAGGATCTAAAGGAAGCTCTAAATAATAAGATAAATGAATAAATTATTGAAAAATAAAAATCTTTAGAAGAAAGTATGAAAGGAACTTCAACTCTAGCACTTAATGTGAAGTTGGAATCTCCAATTTTAGTTATTCCTTTCAAAACCGATGGATCATTAATGAATGAATGTTGGATAGTTAATTTGGGTGATTTGGAAGTTAGAACTAATCCTGAAGTTTTAAGAGAAAATATGACTGATGTTGAGAAGATTTATGATAAATATGATATTAGTTTGACATAAATAAAACTATCTTATTTCCCCTAAATCTAATTTTATAATTAATGTGTTGAATAGTTTGAAAAAGATGGAAATATGCCCCCTACACCTTAAGGTTTGCTTGCTAGATAAAATACTATTGAAGATTTTAAAATTACTTTGTAAGTAACTATAGTTAAATATCCAGCTTAAAAAAAAGTGAAAGATGTATTTTTTATTATTATGAATTGTTTATTTATTTTTATTAAATAAAGCCGAACATTCTTGTAAAGGGAGGAATTGATTAAATAATGCTGAAATTAAATCCTTAAATATATAAAAGGATTTTGAATATTGGTTAATGCTTTGTAGTAGATGATTAAGATAAAAATAAAAATGAACAAAAAATAGAAAAAGTAGTTGCTACAAAATAATAACTTTTAAAAAATTCTATAAAAACTGGTATAGTTTTTAAAAGAAGTTCAAAGTTAAAGAATTGGGAAAAATTTACTGCAGTATTATCTGGAGGATATATTTATTTCTTTGATAATCCAAAAGCAACTGTTCCTGAAGACTATGCTTGGGTAAAAGATTCAACAATAACAAGACAAGATGAGAATTTTGTAGGATTCAAAAATGCTTTTCATATATCAAATAGATATACTGATTTATATATGGCTTGCGATAAAGATAAAAATACCTAATAATGGATAGAAGCTCTTGAATAAGTAAGGACTATAAAATAAATGAATATTGAAGATGAATTTAGTGATTTAGAAGATGCAGAAAGCTAAGCTTTGAAAAGTAAAGAAAAAGAAAATAATAAAGGAACAGAGGAAGAAAAAGTTGATTATAATAAAATTTAAGTTGAAGCTCATTTTGAATTAGGAAAAGTTTCTTTATAAATGTATGATGAAAAAAAATTTCAAGATCAACCTTTTTTGGTCTTCTAAACTAATAAATTATCTATTTAATACATTTAGCAGATGTAATTTATGAGTGTTTAATTGGGATTAGGAGGTATGTTTTTACATGATTACATTTATGAGTATAAAGATGGCAGAATCAAAGATTTTATTACTAGTAAGTAAGAAGGAGATGATGATATGCAACTAATTACGATTAAATTAATCAATTTAGAAAAAAATCATCCTGATTACAAAAATATTGGAATTAATTTAGATGTTTCATTTCATAAATTGATTATTAATTTTAAACCTGATACTTTAGCAAAAGTTATGCTTTTTATTTAAACTTAGGATAAAGGTTTTTTTAAAAAATAAAATATAAATTAATATAAATATAAATTTAAATATAATAAAAAGACCAAGATTAATAAATAAATCAATAAATGATTAATTAATTAGAAAATGCCTAAAGTATGAATGGTGGAGAAGGAGATTCTATCAAATAATCATAAACTTTGGCATCAACTAAAGATACAAGTGTAGTTGAAACATAAGCTTTGTAAGAAAATCAATCTATTTTATTATAGGCAAAAGTATGTATTTCTGAAATTAAAGTTGTTTTAATTAATAGAAGAACTAAACTTAGTATGGCCGATATTTCTTTGAAATAAACTTAATTGGTTTTTAATAAAAAATCTGATGAAATATTGCTAGATGGAACATTAGGTAACCTACAAGTAAATGATTTAACAAATTATCCATAAACTATTTACTTGGAAGATGATTGGAATAAAAGTAAACCTTAAGAGTTGGTAGGATTATTAAAAAAATAAGGAAGCGAGAGTTTATTAAAAGTTTAATTTAGATAACTTTCTGAAGGTTCAAACAAAATATAAGAAGATAATAATGCTACTTTTATAAAAGTTGATATAAGTTCTATTCATATATCTTATTCATAAAGACCTATTTTAAGGCTTTTAGATTATTCTCTTGTTTAATTATTAGGGCCTTTAAGTACTCCGGAATTGTATACAGATGAAGAACTTAATATGTAATAAAAACAAGAAATGAGAGAAAAAGAAAATTAAGCCAAAGATCCTACTATATTATTAAAAAAATAAGGAAGAAATTAAATAATAAAATAGGTTTTAAATCCTAAAGGAATGGATTTACATGTTACTATATAAAATCCTCTCATTAGTCTAAAACCGAATCCTTAATCTGAAGAATACTTAGAAATAGATTTGGGATTAATAAGAATAATAAATATAAGAGAAAAAAGTTCTAATAGATTGTTAGATTGCAAATTAAAATAGGAAGTAAAATAAACTTATAGTGAGAATTATAAAATCTGTATTGAATAAATGTAAATTAGAATAATTAGAAGCAATAAAGTTGATGAAATGACAAAATAATTCAATTATAATGTAAATATTAATATGGCTCTTTTCTCTAATGAGTTAAAATACTTATATGGAGATGATATTGCTATTGATAATACTATGTTTATGCATAACTATGTATCTCCAATTATATTTAGAATGTCTAATTCTGATTATAATTTGGTTATGAAATGTCTATTCCATAATATTACTTATGATGATAATTGTGATAAGTTTATGATACATGATTGGGAAAGAAACTAGGAAGCTTAAGTAATTATTTAGAAGAAACAAAAAGAAGAGGAGAAGAGACTTTAGTAATTAAATGTAAAAAATTAAGATTATTATAAAGAAAAGGGAGGCATTTTCTTTTAATTGGATGTTGAGAGTTTTTCGATTTTCGCTTTAGATTAAAAAAATATTCCTTTTGCAAGAATATCATTAAATAAAATGAGGGTTTATTAAATTATTGGAGAAAAAATGCTAACGTCGTTATATGCAAAAACTCTAAATGGTTCATTCTTTTATTTCGATCTTTTTAAAGACTAATATGTTGAGTAAGGATTACTTGGAGATTTGAATGTGTAGAGAAATTATGATAAAGAATAAATTAATGATTTAAGCTTTTTAGTCTTATAAAGTCTTAATTAACCTAGTGATTAGGTAATGCTTTAATAATCAGATAAATTTGCTTTTGAAGAATATGATAGTGTGGAAAATGCTTTGAAAAATGATAAATTTTAAATTGTTTATGAATTGGAAATGCTTGCTAATGGAGATAAAGTAATGTATGTCCTTGTTGCAGATTTCAAACTAATTCTTAAAACAGGCCCTTTACTTAAACTAGCAAGCTTTGCTATTATGGATGCTAGTGTTTAACCTCCTCCGCCCGTTTATATAGTAGAAGATACTTAAGAATAATTAGAAATGAGACAAATAAGAAATAAAGAAATTGAATAATTTTAAAAATCGATAGGAGGAAAAATGCTAATAGATGTAAAGGTTAAAAATGTTATTATTAGTACACCATGTGCTGATGGGGCTAATTTATTAGCAATAAGAGGAGAGTTCGATATAAAAGTTGAGTTTTCTCAAGCTTAGTCATTGTAATATATAAAATAAGAAATACAAACAAATAAAAGTACTTTAGAAAATGCTTATTTACTTAATTAAACGGGTATGATAAAGGCTATACTTTCTGATTTGGAAATATTTATCTGTAATGAGAATGAATTAAAAAATAAAAATTTTAAAATGGTAAACAAAAGAAATATTTTGCTTCCTTTAGATTTGGTATTTTAAAAAAATGACTATTTATCGTTGACTAGTTTGTAATCTTAACTTTTCTTTAATAAAACTAAAATGAACACTAGTTTGTAAAAAACTTCGTTTAGAGTATCCTTTAGAGATATTACTCTTATTCAAAATACTATTAATATTTTACTTGCTGATATGCAAGAAAAGCATCCCACATAATAAAATTAAAAATAGGAATAAATTAAAGAAGAAGAATAATAATAAACTGAAGGATAAAATGAAATATAATAATAAGAAAAAGTAAATAAATAGTAATAAAACGTTGACACTGATCAACTTTTAACTGATGAAGAAAGAATAAAAAGGGAAATTTAAGAATAAGAAAATAAAATAGATAAGTTAGCTAAAAATGAATCATAAATCAATGAAATGATTATTGAAGCAAATTTTGAAGGATTCTAAATTGTTATTATTAATGATATTAATAACGCATTTGTACCAGTTCTTGATTTTAATATTTTTGAAATGGCTGTTCTTTTTACTTAAAATAATGTCTAAATAAAGGTATTTAATTTTTAATTTAAAAATTTATTAAATTTTATTTAATAATAAAAACAAAGGTGTCTACTATTATATAATTTAGTGCTGAATATTATAATCCAAAAGTGAGCTTATGGGAACCTATAATTGAGAAAGTTGGATTTAATATAGATTATTTATAGAGTGAATTTAATAATCCTCGATAATTAATAACTGTTGAATTAAATTAAAATTACGAAATATTTAACTTAACTTTTTCGACATAATTTTTGAGTGTATTAACTAAGACCACAAAAACTGTAAGGACAAACATTATCCCAAAAAATTAATAATTTGAAACTGCACTTACAGATGTATAATAAGGAAACGTAATTGATATGATTAGAAAATAAAGCTAATAAGATGAAGAGCTTTTTTAACATATATCACCCTATACTATTAGAAATGAAACAGGGTATACTATTGATATTGAAACTGATTTATCTAGTTAAAATATGAATATCAAAAAGCCAAATTATAAAGAATAAAAAATATACAAAATGAGCTTAGAAAACTCTAATGAAAATAACTTTTAGGTCGAACTAGATGAATCATAAATGGTTATTTTTTTATTTATATATGCCATCGTTAAATATTAATAATTTTTTTTATTATTATAATTAAAAATTAGTTATAAGTACTTAGTGATTCAAGAGAAACTCATGTATTTAAAAAAAATAGTGAATAAGTAAAAATAAGAGTAAATGCTCCGAATAAAAATATAGATTTTATAGAGTAAATAGACCTTGATAAAGTAAGAAATAGGTTAAGACCTTGCAAATAAAATAATTAAAAATAATTTGATATTATAACTGAAGTTAAATTGGATAATATTTCTTTGAAAAAAGTGCTTATTATTTCTTCTCCTTATGTGCTAAGATGTGATTGTGAATAATAAATAAAAATTAATATTTTTAATTAATAAAAGGAACTTATAAAGACTGTAGATTTAAGCAAAGGTGAAAAATATCCAGTACCTGTAGATTTATGTTCTGGTTCATTTAGTTTATCTTTTGCTTCATAAATAAACTAATAGAATAATAATTTATAAAATAAATTAGTATTTGATAAACTTGCATAAAATTTTATTAATAAAGCTGAAGAAGTAGTGTTTTAAGAAGAACATTTCTTTTTGATGTTAAAAGTAAATAAAGATTTAGAAAACAACAAAAAAACTATTTTTTCTATAGAACCACCATATAGAATTAAAAATTGCCTTCCAAAAACATTATTAATATAATTTATAAATTAAAGGTAAAAATGAAAAAATTATATATAAAATAAATATATAAATAATAAATCTTTATATTTTCTCTTGTAAACTTTATTATTTTTTAAAATAATAGAAAAATAACTGCTACAACTTAACAAATAGCTTGCGGCAAAAACTTTGAAGTTTATAATATTTCATAAAGAAGATAAGCCTATCTTAAAATAAATATTCCAGGTCTCTTTTGGAGTAATGAAGCAAAGGTTTCAGGAGATAAAATACTTGATAAAATACTAATTAAAGATATTAATGGAAATTCTAGTGAAATTTCTATTCACAAAAAATAAGCTAAGGACGAATAATAAGTTGAAGGTTGTAAATAATTTTATATTTATTGTAAAGGATATATGATAAATGAATCGCCTTATTAGTTGAATGTTTATACTTCCAAATCAGAGAAAACTGACTTAAATAAAGCTAGAATGGTTGGAGGATAATCTAAAATATATCCAGAAGAAAATTTGAACAGAAACATAGTGTTATTGGGAGAAGAAACAGGAAATTATTTATAATTAGCAGATACAGAATTCAGTAAAATATCAAAAAGTGCTAATATAGTAGGTGTAGGGTAAACTTAAATTGATTTATATACAAAAAATATTGATAGTGAACCTATTTACTAGACTATGGGTATAGATGTATCTTTGAAAAATCTAGATTATGATGAAAAAATTTTCTCTAAAGTAATAACAATATCTCCAAGATTTATTTTTGTAAATAAAACTGGAAATTTATTAGAAATAAGATAAAAAGGAGTTGAAAATAAAATAATAGGGATTGAAAAAAATTCAAGAATTCCTCTTTATTGGCATAATGATGAAAAGAGTAAATTTTTAAATGTAAGACTTATTGATGAAAATAAAGACTGGAATTGGAGTGGAAACCTAAATGTTTAAGAATTGGGAACTGTGAACTTTTTATGTAGAAATGCTTAGGATAAAATGGAACTTTTGTTTTTAAGAATCGATGTTAGAGATGATAAATCTAATATTTTTATTGTTATTGAAAAAGTTTAAGATAATGAAAGACCTTATTTAATTTAAAATCTTTCACAAAAAGTTAAAATAGAACTTACTGATTATGGGGTCATTTTAAATAATGCAAGTTCAGATAAGCTAAATGATAATTAGTTTTATAATTTATCTTGGAACGAACCATTTGATAAAGAAAGGAAAATTCTTACCCTTATTTCTCCGTTTGATGGTAAATTTGAAAACTATTAACTCAATTTAACTCCTGATCATATCTATTATTAAGATAAAATCATGATTGCACCTATTGATGAAAAAGATAAAAAAAAAATCAAAGTAATATCTTTTGTTTTTAAAAAAAATATATATATATTAATATATTTAAAAATAAAAAGATAAATGCTCTTTATTTAAAATGGTCAGTTGATATTGATGGATTTACAAAAATAATAAAATTTGAAGATAGTTCTTTAGACGAAGCAGTTACTTAAAAAGAAAAAAAATAATTGAGAGCTAAAATCCTAAAATAATAAGAATAGAAAAGAAAAGAATTAGAAAAAAGAGAAAAAAAGGAAAAAAAAAATAAAAATAAAAATAAAAAGCAAGAAGAAAATAAACAAGCAATAGATTTAGAATAAAATACTCAACAAACAATCCAAACTGATTTAAATGAAAATGTAAGTTCAGAAACATTAGATACAGAAGTTATAAGACTTCAATAAATTAGTGTATCTTTGAAAAGCTTTGGTGTTTCAGTAGTTTAAAATCATCGCTTTTCCGAAAAACCAAAAGAAGTTTTATATATAACTTTATAAGGTACTGAAGTAATTATGATAACAAGGGAAGATGTGAAAATAACTTAGGCAAGAATATAATTAATTAATATAGATTCTAATAGTTAATATGCACTTAATAATCCTGTAATATTTACTCCTATGAAATTCGGTAGTTATCTAAAAAAAGATTCAAATAAAAATTTCATAAATGTGTTAATTGAATAAAATCTTCTTGCTAAAAATATCGTTTTATATAATAATTTGACAGTTGATATTGATCCTTTTGCTGTTAGGATTGATGAATAATTTATTAATGTAATTTTGGATTTCTTAAACGCTGTAGGGGAGGCTTAATATGATTATGAAGAATAATAAATTAATAGTTTAGAAGAATATTCTAGCGAAGAAAAATAAATTGAATAATATAAATAATAGAAATTTAAATGGTAAGTATGTGAAATTCCTCCAACTTCAACTCCAACTTTTATAAATTAATTAATTCTCTCAAATATAGAAATAAGCCTAACTTTTAGCGCTAAACTAAAAACAAATGATGAAATGTCAGGATTATCTATACTTAAGTCCATTTTTACGGCTTTAGGAGTTGCTTTTGCTAATATTGATGAAGCTCCTTTAAGTTTGAGTGGAATAAAATTAATAAACTGTTTCGAAACTATACCAGGAATATCAAACAAACTCATGGCTCATTATAAAAATCAAGCAATAACTTAAATATTTAAAGTTTTTGGATCTTTGAATGTTATTGGCAATCCAGTTGGATTATTTAAAAATATCTCAACAGGAGTTATTGACTTAGTAGAAAAGCCGGCTGAAGGATTTGCTAAAGGACCTTTAGAAGGAGGTTTAGGAATAGCTTAAGGAGCTGGATCTTTGTTAAAAAATACAATGGCTGGAGCTTTTAATTCAGTAAATAAGATTACTGGTTCCATATCTAACGGTATATCAGCTTTATGTATGGATGAGGAATATTTATAAGAAAGGGAAAAATTAAGATCGAAAAAACCTAAACATATCGGAGAAGGAGCAATTCAGGGAGCAACATCAATAGTATCAGGCATTGCTTAAGGTATTGCAGGTGTATTTTTATAACCATTCCAAGGCGCGAAAAAAGAAGGAGTATTAGGATTCTTTAAAGGGGCTGCGAAAGGAATCGCAGGTCTCGTAGTTAAGCCTATTACTGGAGTTTTAGATGCCGCTTCGGCAGCTACTGAAGGAATAAAAAATACTATTACTTATGGTGACGATAAACCTAATGAATCTAGATTAAGGGCTCCTAGAATATTCTATGGCAAAGAATAATTCTATAAAGAATATATTGATTTAGATGCAGGAATTAAAGTTGCGATGCAATTAGTTTCTAAAGGCAAATTTGGTAATGCAGATTTCTTATAGTCGTTTTTGATTATTCCTGATAAGAATAAACCTGATATTAAATTTATTCTTGTTATTACTTATGATGTTATTATGTTATTTGAATATGCAAAGAAAAAGAAATAATGGTATATTGAAACTGAAATTTTATAGAATCATGCCTTAAAGGATAAGGGAATTCATTTTACAACTACTAAAAATATTAAAAAGATTAATGTAATATATTAAATTTTTTTTTTTATATATATATTTTTTAGAAAAAGCAAATTTATATTGAAATTAATGAAGAATAATAGAAAAATTATATAAATGAATAACTATCTTATTTAAAAGCTTAATTAGATGAAGAAAAGAAAATCAAAGAACAGGAAAAATGAAAAATGTATTTAGATATTATTTTTTATAATTATAAAAATACACTTTAATAAAATTATTATTTTAAAAAAATTTTATTTATATTTTTTTTTTATTTTTATTAGTATTTTTTTATATTTTTTTTTTAATTTTTTTTTTTTCATTAAAATATATTTTTTACTTACAAAAAAAAGAATATTTAAAATTTTTAAGAAAGTTAGTAAATTATAACAGCTAATATCCTTATTTTTTAAAAAAAAATAGGAAATAAAATATAATTTTTTTTCCTTTTAATTTTATTAAAGATATAATTAAAAAAATATGAACATTAAAAATAATAATAATTATTATATTTTAAGATAAAAAGTAATTCATTTATTTTATTTTTATTTTAGAATATTACACTTGCTCACATTATTTATAATTCTAAATTTAATTTTATTGGAAATAATAATAAATTAATTTAAATTAAAAAATTAATAAGTTTATATATTTTGAAGCAAAATAAAATATTCTTTAAATTTAAAATTTTCAATTTCCGAAAAATGATATCTAAATATTTAAATAATTATAATTAGTATCTCATAAATTTATTATTTTAAAATAATATAACTATATTTGTAAGTTAAAAAATAATAATTTCAATTTAAATAAATTAAGTATATTCATTTCATAATATAAACTTTTATATAAAGTATTTTCTTTCCATAGAATATATTTCAAAAGCTATATATTACGTGTTTCTATAAAAATGTTTTTTTTTTATACATAATAAAATAAAAATTTAATAGTTTTTTTTTAATTTTTATAAGATTTGTTTTATTATATTTTATAAAATTTATACAAAAGAAAAAAATATTTTTTTCAAATAATATTTTAATATATGAAATAAAACTTTGGATCTCAATTAAGAGAGTAGTTGTATTAATTATATATTTTAAAGAGATAAAATAATAATATTTTATTTTATTTCTTAATCAAAATATACAAAACAAAATTATATAAAAAAAAGAATTGAAATGAAAGTTCAATAAAAGAGTATAAATTTTAACACTGTAAATTTTCAATTACCTCGAGATGTCCAAGAAGAAGGAGCAATCAAAGACATAGAATCATTTGAAATTTCTTTACCTAAATTAATTTTTAGTTATATTTTATATATATTAAGTTTTGGAATTGTATATTTATTTACGAGATGGTCTTTAAGTTTTAGAATATATTTATAAATGATTCCTTGCATACCGAAAAATGCTTAATTTTTAAAGATAATTTCCTTAGGTATAGATTTATTTTAATATTATACATAAAAATAAAAAATATAAATAGATGAAACTGAATGTATTGAAAAAGTATATTAAAAGTAAATGAAGATAAACGAAAATGAAAAAACTTATATGGTGTTTACATTTAGACTATATAAATATTTTTATGATTAAATACAAAATGTATTTATTCCAATAGAGTTTACATTAAATTAAATGATAAATAATGATATCCACAAGCAATATACAAAAGGGATAAAAACAGAATAAGAATTAAAATAATTTTAATAAATATATGGAGAAAATAACACATAAATACCAGATAAATCAATATTAAAAATATTTATAGATGAAGTATTGTCACCTTTTTATTTATTTTAAGTATTTAGTGTAGCTTTGTGGTACTTGGAAGACTATTATTATTTTGCTGGTGTGATTTTCTTTACATCTGTAATATCTATAATTGTAAGCTTAAATGATGCATACACTAACTACCAAAAATTAAAGAAAATGTCATTTTTTGAAACTAAAGCATATGTATATCGATACTCTTAGGACTAAATTTAAAATGAAAACGGATAATATTAATTATTTGAAAAAATAAATTTAAAAAAGTAAAAAATAAGCTCTTTACATTTAGTTCCAGGAGACCTTATTGAAATTTCAGACGGAGAAATTATGCCTTGTGATACAATTCTTTTAAATGGATAATGTGTTATGAATGAATCTATGCTTACAGGCGAATCTATTCCGATAATCAAGTCATGTCTCCCACATAATAATAATATATATAATGTTAATGAAGAAGGAAAATAATGCACTTTATTTGCAGGTACAAAATGTATTGAAACTAGATTTTATTAAAAAGGAAAAATGCCTGTTCTTGGTTTAGTTTCTTAAACCAGCTTTTCGACAATGAAAGGATAATTGGTACGTTCTATACTTTATCCTAAATAAAATTAGTTTAAATTTTATGCTGATTCACTTAAATTTATTGCTGTTTTGTCTGCTTTGTCTGTTTGTGGGTTTCTCCTGTCACTCAAATATCAATTAGAAGGTATTAAGGAAGGCTATATTGATATAAAATTTATGATTCTTCATAGCTTTGATCTTATTACTATTACTGTTCCTCCTGCTTTGCCAACATGCTTATCGATTGGAATTAGCTTTGCCCTTTAAAGACTTAAAAAAATAAAAATTTATTGTATTTCTCCCCCAAAAGTTAATATTTGTGGAAAAGTCACAATTATGTGTTTTGATAAAACTGGAACTTTGACAGAAGAAGGACTTGATATGTATGGAATTAGACCCGTAATTTATCAAAAGTAGAATAAAATAAAGTTTATCAAACTTTAAACAGAGATTAAATATAATTATTAAGAAAAATAAATTGATTTTGGAAAGATTTTTGGTAAAGAAAATGCATTTTTTTAAATTCAAAGAGATACGGAAAATACGTTTTTGGAATGTATGGCTTCTTGTCATAGTTTAACAAGAGTAAAAGGAGAAATTATAGGTGATCCTTTAGAGATAAAGATGTTTGAAAGTACATAATGGGAATTAATAGAAAGTAATTTAGAAAACAAATACGATGAATTAATTTCTGCAATTGTTTAGCCTGTTTCTCGTCCTGAAAAAGCTATTGGAATTTGTAATAGATTCGAATTTTCATCGAAACTACAAAGAATGAGTACTGTAGTTAAAAATTTGGAATAAAAAGACATATTTAGGTTACATGTAAAAGGTTCTCCTGAAAAAATATTCGAGTTATGTATTCCTAGTACTATTCCTGAAAATTTTCACACAGTTTTAGACTTTTATGCAAGAAAAGGATTCCGTGTTTTGGCCTTTGGGATAAGAGTCTTTAAAGCTGATTATAGGTAAATTTTGAAAATGGAAAGAGAATAAATGGAATAAATGCTTACTTTTGTTGGATTAATTATAATGGAAAACAAACTAAAACCAATAACTTCTTAAATAATATATCAACTTTAATCAGCAAATATTCGCACTATTATGGTTACAGGAGATAACTCTTTAACTGCGATAAGTGTGGCAAGATAATGTAATATTATATATAATGATTAGAGAGTTTATTTTGGGGATATGTAAGATAAAAAGGAATTTGAAAGACAAAGAATTATTTGGAGAGACTTTGAGAATTCCGATAAGATATTAGATGATGAAAACTTAGAACCTTTAAATGGAATAAGTGAATATAAAGAAAAAAATGAAGAAATAGAGGAAATTAAGGAAGAAAAGTAATATTTTGAATAATTGGAATAATAATAAGATTATGTAAGTGAAATTAATAGTTCGGTTATAAGAAGATAAAATAGCGCTTTAAAAAAGGTTAATTTATCAAGAAGTGTGAGCAAGAAGAATTCTATAAAAATAACAAATAATCAAAATATTTTAAATAACGAAGAAAGTTTATACTCTGAAATTTTTCCTTGGTAAAATTAAGAAGATTTCACATTGGCTATAACAGGACGAGTTTTTTAAAAAATGATTGAAGATTCAAGTTTAAATTAGAATAAATTAAATTTATTCAATATTATGTTATAAAAAACTTAAGTTTTTGCTAGAATGAAACCAGACTAAAAAGCTTAATTAATTCAACATTTATAAAATCTTAGTTGGGGACCTACATGTGGAATGTGTGGAGATGGGGCTAATGATTGTGGCGCTTTAAAAACTGCAGATATAGGAATTTCATTATCAGATGCAGAGGCATCTATTGCAGCTCCATTTACTTCTAAAATTTAAGATATATCTTGTGTAATTTAATTACTACTATAAGGAAGAGCAGCTCTAGTTACAAGTTTTTCTTGTTTTAAATTTATGGCTCTATATTCAACTATTTAATTTACTACAACTACAATATTGTATATTGTACATTCTTTACCTTCTGATTTCTAATTTTTGTATTGGGATTTGTTTATAATTATACCTCTTGCTTTCTTTATGGGTCTAACTGACGCAGAAGAAATTCTATCAATATAGGTTCCTTCGTCAAGATTAATATCATTTTAAGTACTTTTTTCGGTTATAAGTTAATCACTAATAAATATAAGTTTTTAAGCAGGAGTATTTTAATATCTCAGAAACTAAAAATGGTATCTTTCAGCAAAAGAAGCACATATATATATAGGTGATTTAAATGATGAAATATCGAAATAAAAGTGTTATGAAGGAACAGTAATATATATATATATATATATATATATATATATATATATATATATATATATTATATTTATTTATTTATTTATTTATTTATTTATTTATTTATTTATTTTTTTAATTAGAGCTTGTTTTTTTTTAGTAATTATTAATATATTATTTCTTGTTTGGTTTTTTCAATAGCTCGTCCTTATAAAAAGCCTTTTTATACTAATATATTTTTTACATTATCTTTAATAATTATTTTATTTATTTCATTATCTATTTAATTATTTAATTATTAATTTGCTAATAATCTTTTATTTGTATTTTAATTTATAATTTTTATTTATTTTACAATTTTATTTTTATATAGATATTTACTGAAGTTAAATAAGAAAAAAATAAAAATCCTATTTCTTAAATGCCTTATAGTTGGAGATTTTAATTGTTGTTTTTGTCCTTAATAAATGCTTTAACATGTTTTATATTTGAAAAGAAAATTGTTATATTTGCTACATAAATATATTAAAAACTAAAATTTCAGAAATAATTAGGTAATAACTGTTAATAAATAAATAGTAATACAAATTTATGAAATTTTATTAAATTAAAATATAAAAATTTATTTTAACAAAATTTTTATATATATATATTTTTAAGTTTTTTTTTTTTTATAAAATATTTTACATAAATTTATAATATATAATTTATATTTTAATGTTTTAAATATTATAATAAAAATAATTATTTTTTAAAGATGTTTTATAAATTTTTAATAATTTAATAATTATATTTTTATATAAGTAATATTTTTTAATATTTTTTTTTTTTCTTGTAAATAATAAAAATATTAAAATATCATAAAATATTATTATTATATTAATACAATATATATAATAAAAATTATCTATTAACAGAAATTTATTGATACTAAATAAATAATTAGGATACTATTATATTTCTATAAACTTTAAAATGTAATCGTAAATACCGTATCTAATAGTTCTATTTGTTATAATTCTATAAATTTCATTAACGTGTAAAAAGTAAAATAAGTTTAAATTAGCTAATGTACTATAGATATATAGATTTTATCATATAAATTTGATATAAACTACTATAAATAGAAAGATTAATTTTATAATATTAGTTCATATTAAATTATCATGTATTTATTTTATATTTCTTCAAAAGTTGTTAGTAAAGTAAATATTATACATATAAATAAAATTGGAAAGGCTATAATTTCAACAAATAATACAAAATAATGTTCTATAAACCTGTTTAAATGGAAGTAATAATATCCTTAATCTATTGAACATAATAGCAAAATGATATAATTAATAGAAAAATTATTTTCATTTTATTATTAATAATTATATTTTTTTTCTTTTTTTGTTCATAAAAAATTCATTACTGGATTTTTTATTTATTTTAAGCCCATATTTATTTAATTCATTTGTGATTTTTATTATGTTTTCACTCTTTAATTTGATTAATAAATTTTGTTTATTAATTTTTATAAATATTTAAATTTTTAATTATATTTGTATTTAATTAATATTACTTTCATATTAATAAAAATCTATTTTTAATATATTTAATTATTATTGATATAAACTATTATTTTTAGTTTTATATATATATATTTAAAATCTCGTATTTATTTAATGTAAAAATATTATAGTCATATTTATCACATTTTTAGTATTAAATAATAAGATGATATTATTGATTTTACCAAAAAAATTAGTTAATTAAAAATAAAACATTAAATATTCAACAAATAATTTTAAGAATATATACAAAAAATAAAAAGATAATTATTATGTATATAATTGGTAAGGTAATGATAATTAAAACTTAGCATTTATAATTAAAAGTAAAATTTCATTTTTAAACAATAAATATACAATTTTCTATAAATTTAAATTATAATTTTCTAAGAGTAATTGCTTTGAATTTTGTAATTTTTATTTTCGTTTTAAATAAAAAGAATAAAAATAACTATTGCTATAAAAGTAATTTTATTTTAATTATAATTTTTCTTCATATAAAATTATATATAAAAATATAAAGTTTAAATGTATTTAAATTAAAATATATATTTTCAAATTAAATTTTAGATTTTTTTGATTTTAATATCTTTATATGATAAATGATATAATATTTAAAAATTTAATATTTTTTTTTTTTCTTATTAAAAAAAAAAAAAATATTTATAGAAAATTATATTTTTTTTGTTTATATTTATAAAACATTATTAAAATAAGATATACAATTTTATTTTAAATAGTTTATTTTACAATATATTCATTTAATAATTAAATTTTTATTTGATAATATTTATTTTAAATGCTTTATTTATTAATATATATAAAAAGGTTAAATTTATTTAAAAACAATATGTATTTATTATATGATATGAAATGTATTAACTTAATCTATTTATTTATAAAAAATTATAGATATTTAGAATCAATATAAGAATAAAATAAAAATCAATAAAAAATAAATAAAAATCAATATATTGAAAATAAAAATATAATAATAAATTAAAAGAAAAAAAAAAAAAAAAATTAAAAAATAATAGAAACAAAAAAAAAAAAATATGTAAAAATCAAAAGATATAAAAGTAGTAATGTTAGGAGATTCAGGTATTAACTTAAAGCTATATAAATATTTATTTTAAACATTTATGCAAAGGTGTTGGTAAAACAAGTATCTTAAATCGTTTTGTATAAGATAAATTTGATAATAACTGTCCTTCTACATTAGGTGCTTCATTTATTCCAAAAGTACTTATAAAAGGAGATAAATAATATAAATTTTAAGTAAAAAAATATATTCATAAATTCTTAAAATGAAAATATTTAATTTTAAAATAAAATTAACTAGATTTGGGATACTGCAGGTCAAGAAAAATATAAGACACTTGCTCCACTTTATTATAGAGGTTTTTATTAATATTTAATTAAATAAAATTAAAATATTTAATTTTTATTAGATTCTCACGCCGCATTAATTGTTTATGATATTACAAATAAATAATCATTTTAAGTTCTTTAAAATTGGGTAAATGAACTTAATTAAAATGGCCCACCAAATATTGGTACTTTGTAAATTTTATTATTTTTTTATTTTTTTTTCAAAAACACATTATTATGCCTTTATATTTATTTTTATATAATCGTTTTCTTTTGTGCTATAATATTTTTTAAAGTTATTGCAGTCGTAGGAAATAAAGTGGATTTAATTGAAAAAGAAGAAGTTAAATATGAAGATGCAAAAGCATATGCAAGAGTATTTTTTTTAATTTTTAAATAATAATTATATTAATTTATATTAATTAGAATTTAAAAGCTTTGTTCTAATACACAAGTGCTAAAGAAAATAAGAATGTTGTTGTAATAATAAATAATATTTATTTTTTAATAAAAAAACTAATATTTTACAATTTAAATTATATATAAGGATTTGTTTGAATAAATTGCAGAAAAAATTGATGAAAACTAAGATTAAGTATAAAAAGAAAAAGGATAGAGTTTAAGAAAAGATAAAGGAATAGAAAAAGCTAAAGGAGGATGTTGTTGATAAAACTTTTTTATAGATAATTAAAAAAATTATTCTATTTATAAAAATCAAAATATAGAAAATCATAATTATAAAATATATAAAATAATATTGCTTAACTTATATATTAATATTTTATTATTTTTAAGGTTTTTAAAATTTTAAGGTTAATTACTTTAATATTAAATATGTAATAAATAAAAAAATTATAAATATTAAATATATATCAAAAATAATATGATATTTATATATATAAAATCAACATTAATAAATATGTAAAATTAATAATTATTGTATCTTATCAAAATAGCATTTTAATTAAACAAATCCAATTTTAATTATTTTTAGTTAAAAGTTAATATATATTATTATTAAAAATTAAAGTGAAAAAATATAAATATAATAAAATTATAGATTATAAAAAAAAAAAGATTTAAATAAAATTTATATAGAAAACTATAAATAAAATATTTTATATATTAAATATAAAAATAAATAATATATTCAATTAAATTAAAATTGCAATATGAAAAAAATAAATTATACTCTTAAAATATCATTTAATTTTATTTTATATATATAAATTATATCATAATATAAAATTATATATAAAAAAAAAATGTTTTTCATTATATTAAAATAATCATAAAAATAATAAAAAAAACTAAATAAATTTTTATAATTAATTTTATTATATTTTTTATTTGATAAAAAAATTAAATTTTCAAAGTCCTCCTCTAAGTCTTAAGACTAAATGGAGTGTTGATTCTTTTTAAATATTGTAGTCAGAAAGAGTTCTTCCGTCTTCTAATTATTTTCCTGCGAAGATAAGTCTTTATTAATCTGGGGGAATACCTTCTTTGTCTTAGATTTTAGCTTTGACGTTTTCAATAGAGTCGGAAGCTTCAACATCTAAAGTGATTGTTTTTCCGGTTAATGTTTTGACGAAGATTTACATACCACCTCTTAATCTCAAGACTAAATGGAGGGTTGATTCTTTTTAAATATTGTAGTCAGAAAGAGTTCTTCCGTCTTCTAATTATTTTCCTGCGAAGATAAGTCTTTATTAATCTGGGGGAATACCTTCTTTATCTTAGATTTTAGCTTTGACATTTTCAATAGAGTCGGAAGCTTCAACATCTAAAGTGATTGTTTTTCCGGTTAATGTTTTGACGAAGATTTACATACCACCTCTTAATCTCAAGACTAAATGGAGGGTTGATTCTTTTTAAATATTGTAGTCAGAAAGAGTTCTTCCGTCTTCTAATTATTTTCCTGCGAAGATAAGTCTTTATTAATCTGGGGGAATACCTTCTTTATCTTAGATTTTAGCTTTGACGTTTTCAATAGAGTCGGAAGCTTCAACATCTAAAGTGATTGTTTTTCCGGTTAATGTTTTAACGAAGATTTACATACCACCTCTTAATCTCAAGACTAAATGGAGGGTTGATTCTTTTTAAATATTGTAGTCAGAAAGAGTTCTTCCGTCTTCTAATTATTTTCCTGCGAAGATAAGTCTTTATTAATCTGGGGGAATACCTTCTTTGTCTTAGATTTTAGCTTTGACGTTTTCAATAGAGTCGGAAGCTTCAACATCTAAAGTGATTGTTTTTCCGGTTAATGTTTTAACGAAGATTTACATTATTTATTTATTTTTTTATTTTTTTTGTTTTTTTTTGTTTTTTTTGTTTTGTTTTTTTATTTAATTTATCATTATATTTTTATTATTTTTTTTTTAAAAAAATTTAATAGAATAGATATGATAAATTCTGATTGCATTTAAATAAAAGATTAGAATGATAGACTATATACTTTTAATTAATTTATAACTATAATATCCACATATAAATAGAAAACAAAAGAAAATAATAAATTAAATTATTAATATTCTTTAATTTTATATTTTTAATAAATAATTTTGATTATTTATTTCTGATAATAATTTTTCTTCAAAATTAAAAAAAAAAAAAAAAATTATAATTTCCATTATTCCATAAATTAAATAAATTAGAAATTTAATAGAAACAAGGTAATTAATTTATAAAATTCTTTTAAAATTTACAATATTTTTAATCAGTTTTTCACATTATTGTCATAATATTTTTATTTTTCCGTTATAATTGGAAAATATAATAATAATTTTATTGACTCTTTCTTTTTTACTTAAAATTTTATGAACAGAAATTTATTTTTTTAAATTTGAAAATAAATTAATAGCAAATTTAATATTTTATATTTGATTAAATTAATATATATGTATATATAAATAAAAGTATTAATGTTAAATTTTTTTCGATATTTTTGTTTTTTACTGAAAACATATTTTTTATTTATATATATAATTATAATTTTAAAGAAATGTTTTTTATTTTATACGTAATTATTTCATAAAAATTAACAAAATCATATATTTTAATAAATTTAATCTTTTTTTAAAAAAATATAATGTAATTCTTTATAACTATATTAAGAATTATTTTTATAATCACTAATTATGAAGATTTGTATCTTAATTTTAAATATTTTTTAAACTATATTACTAATTGTTAATATATTTGAAATATAAGGTTTAACACATATTCTATTTTAAAATAATTTAAAATATAGCCTTAAAAAAAAATTTAAAATAAAATTAATTATTACAAAAAATAAACAATTAATTTTTTTCTATATTAAAATCAGAATTATTATTTTATATATATTAAAAATAATATTTTATATGAATATTTTTTCTTGTTTTATTTCGATTTTTTTATGTAATTTGTTTGATAATTAAAAATAAAGATTCTTATTTATTTTATGTAAATTTTTAATTGAAAAATTATTACAATTATAATAATAATTCGTTAATCAATCAATTTTTTATATATATAATTTTTTTATATATATATTTTTAAAATATATATATGATTATATTGTTAAATTCAAAAAAACTTAATCTTTATTTCAAAACAATATAATGAATAAGAAAAAAAAATTCATAAAAAAATATCAAATTTAAATAATTAATAAAAAGAGAAAATTATATATATATAAAAAAAGTATAAAAAATTGAATTATATAAAAAAAAATATTATTATATTAATAGATTGTTTATTTTCTTAATTAGAATTTTAATCTAAAATATAATATAAACTTCTCTTTTTATAAAAAGTTCTAATCTTTTTAAAATAAATAATTTTTTTTGTTGAAAAAATTAATTTTTTTATAATTTTTGTCTTTTTTTGTTAAATTTATAATTTTATTATATAAAAAATATTTTAGGTTTGATTTTTAGTTGTTTTTTTAAAATATTTTTAACAATTTTTAAAGTTTATTTATTCAAAAATAATAAGTTTATTTATTCAAAAATAATAATAATAGAGTATAAAAGTTATTTCCGATTTGAATTTTTTATTTTTTATTTAAAATATTTCTTTAAAAACTTTATTTAATTTGAAATTTATTATTATTTTGAATTTAAAAAGAAATCATATAAAAATATGAAAGTTTTTAATTAACTAATATTAGTATTAATAATAGATTATCATTTTTATATTTAAATTTTATATTAATTATTGCGTTTTTTTACGATTATTTTAATTATTTAAAAGATTCATAAATTTATATTAATTTTATTGATAATTATAAAATACATATATTTTTGAAATTTATTGCCATATAATTATATTATTTCGAATTAAATAAACTATAAATATTAACTTAATTCAATAATTTTATAGTATTTTAAACTTCGCCTTAATTATAAATGATATTCGATTCGCATATTGATAATCAAAAGTATTATCTATTCAGAAATTATACATATTAGAGTAAAATTTAAGGTTCTTAACTAATATACAAAAAGTAAAAAACATAAAGATTTTGCTTACTAAAATGTAAAGTAATTTAATTCTGATTTACATTTTATTTAATTAATGATATTTTAAAATACGTTATAATGATTTAGTTTCTATTATATTTTATACTAACCTTTTTTACAAATATATTTTCAACTTTTAATTGTTTACTCTTAATTTTTTTAATATTCAATAATTTCTTTTTATTTTTAAAGATGCTTCTAACTTTATTTCTATTTAAATGGATTGTATTTTTTTGCCTTACTCTTTTATATTTTGATCATATTTGATTACTTAACCTAAACGACTTTTAAATTATTTTTATAAATTATCTATTTGAATTTATGTATTAATATTTTATAAAGATAACTAAAGTATTTTTATATTATAAAACTAGTATTTGAATTTTTGTTAAAATAAATAAATTTTAAAAAATATAATTAATAAGAATTTATTTAAAAAATATATATCAACTTAGTTATTCATTTTTATTAAACATTTAGAAATTCAATAATAGAATTTTAAATTTTAACTAATGCTTTTTCGAATTCTAATTCTTATTGAGCAATTTCATCTTAATTTTAAAAAAGTAAACCAAAATTAAAAAAGAAAGAGTTAATAATTTTTAAATCTAATTATTAAACTGATTTATTTATAGAAATTATATTCATAACAATAGAAATGAAAGAATCAAACATAGAAATATTAATATTTGTATTAAAATCTTTTTAAAAAGAGAGAAAATTATTAAAAAAAGAACAAGCTTTTGCACAAAAAGTAAGGCTCTCTAAATACTTCATTGGATATTTTTTTAGATTAGAGTTATTTTATAAATTTTGATTACTCATTTAATTAAAATAGCATAAAATGAATTACTAAGCTTATTCTTCCTCTTCCTAATCAAATGTATTGTTTTCTTATTTTTTAATATTATCTTTATCTTTTGTATTTTAATAATATAATTCGTTATTTATTTATAAGTTATTTTTTTTTTATTTTTTTATTGTATTTTATTCTTAATCTTTTATATTATTATTATTATTACTATTAATTATTTCATGTCCAAGAATTTAATGTACAAACTAAACTGAATAATTAACATAATTATTGAAAGACATATTATTTTTCCCCAAATGAAAATGTAAGTCAAAAAAAGAGGTAAAATCTTCATTTTTATCTGCATTTTTTTAAAATCTTGTTTTACCTTCGTTTTCTTCATATTTTATAGCCCAGATTGTACTTTGTAAAAGAATATTTGTTTTCGTTAATTTAACGTTAATTTCTTATTTTTTAAGTACTTATTTAATTATATTAATATCTTTTTCTTTTAAACTATTTAATTCTTTTATTACTAAAATTCCTGAATTATTTGTTTTTATTAAGTTTTCGATTAAAAAATTATTATTATCTTCTAAAAAAACTACATTTTCGAATTTTTAAAATGCTTTTTGGATCATTTCTTAGATGATTTTTAATTGGTTTTATTCGCAAGTTATTAATATGTGTATGTTTTTGGAATTTTAGTAAATTATTTGGAAAAAAAAACTTAATAAAATTCCTAGTTTTACACTTAAAAAACCAAAAGGGGGCACTATAAAATTCTCTTCTGAGAAAAAATTCTCTACTTTTTAAAATAATTATTTTAATTTGTTAAAAATTTCGTTTTTTTAGGGATTTTCTATTTCTTTTTTTGATAATTTTTATATTATTTTTTCATATAAAAGATAATTTTTGGGCTTACTTGGATATATTTATTAAGGAAAAATCAAAATTTATTCAATATATAAGTCTTAAATATTTTAATTTTAATCTATTCTTTTTAATTTAGAGGAGAATAAAGCTGTACATGAATAATTTTTATTTTTTTCGAGTCTTTTTATATTTTCTTGTTCTAAATAAGCCTCAAATATTCCTTTATTTTCTCCGAAATATTACATTTATGGAATATATATTATAGCTTTTTGGCATAATTTTATTAATGATTAATCTTGGAGTTTTTTATATCCTGTTTTGCAAATTTAACATTAATAAATATTCTAAAAAAGTTGTGTTTTTTCAGTAAAAAATGAGTTTTAATATTAATAATTTTACTTGGGTATATATACAGATTAGAAGAGTAATTTTGGTAGATAATTTTATTTAATTATGTATTTTTTTTAATTTTCGCATATACATTTTTACTCAAAAAACTCTAATTAGTTATAATTTTCAATATCAAAAAGCTTTAAAACATGAAAATGTTAGATATTTAATAATTAACTTATTATTGTACTTTAGCTGCTTTGAGATTATTAAGAATTTTTTGGAAGATCATTTAGGAGTTTTATGAGTGTATAATTAGTTATTTGAGAATTAAAATTACTGTTTATTATTTATAACTATATTATTAGTTAGTTCTTTTATATGTTTCTTGAAAATTTATTGTTTTCTTAAAGAAGAATTTCGTATGTTATATTTTTTATATTCTTTTTTATATTATCGTAATTGTATATTATGTATGTATGGAGTTCTATATCGTAATCAAGAATATCAATGAAGTCTAGTTCGACGTTTATATTATAATATGGGTCTATGGTTGAGAAAGGTTAGGATTTTAAATAGGAAATAAAGTTTGGATTTCGATAAAAATATTGATTTAATTTTTGGTGCATTTTTTTATTGATTAAAATAATATATATATTTATTTTTTTAGCTTATGACTTTTTTTTTTATATATATATTTTTAGCAAATTTCTTTTTATTTTTTATTATAATATTATTTGTTAATGTTAATAGTAATCTTAATTTTAAAAAATAATAAAATTAAATATTATTTAAATAATTTATTATAAACAGAAATAAACGAAAATATAAAAAGGTATAGAAAATATAAAAATGTTATTTTATTAATAAAGAAAAAAAAAATATATTAATGTAATCTATAAAAAATTTATTAAGTTATATAATTAATTAATGATTAAAGTGTTTTTAAATATTAATATATATATATATAATTATTAAATTTTGTAAATAATAATGCTTTGTTTTTTATTTTATTTATATTTAATAAGTAAAATAATTTAAATTTGATTATATATTTTATAATAAATTTATATTTTTATTTTTTTAATCTAAAATGTATATATGCGTTGAGTTAAATTTATACAAAATTTGAACTAACTACTTTCTTATATTATCTATATTAATTAAAAAGCAAATATTTTGGTTTAAAAATAAAATACCTATGACATGTATTACAAAATAAAAAATTACAAAATAATATTAATAAAATAAAATAATATAAATATCAAAAATAAAAATTAAATAAATGAATTAAAAAATATTTGACCTAAATGAAGACGAGAAACATTTTGCTTAAAAATCATATAATTTAATAATTGAAAAATAATCAAGAAGAATGAGTGTATAAGAATTACCTCTAGCTGTAGAATTATTTTTATAAAAATACCGATTACCCTAAGATTTTATGAGTGCTTCTAGAATACTAGAATATAATTGTTTAGACAAGAATTAGTTATTTATAAGTGAATCATAATTTTAAGAAATGTTAAAAAAAATTAAATAAAAATATGGAGAATTCGTAAAAACAGAACATAAATTAAATAAAAGAAAAATTATGTATATTCTTTCTGAATTTTAAATTAAACTTATTGATAAAGCTTGGAAAAAAGCCGATATATTATAATATGGAATTATATAAGACGATAAAATTGAAAAAGCAGTAAGAAATCTAATTAAAAATTTTGATATTACCAATAAAGAAGAAAGAATTTAAAATATTGTAAAAGAACTTAAAAAAATTAACCAATTTTAATATATTTTTTTTGAATAATTTGCTAACTTTTTTGCTGATTGGATTATTAAACATAATCCTAAATACACTTAGAAAGCTAATTGTGCCCAAACATGTGTTATTTTTTGAAAAAATTATTTTAATATTTAATTAAATTATTGTTTGTATATAGTAAGGTTTTACATATTGTCTATTTCAAGTATATTATAATGTTAAATGTTTCTATTCTTTTTTTGTTTTGTTTTTTTGTTTAAAGATTAAGAGAACTTTATATATATATATATTATTTAAATAATTAATAAATATAAATTTATATTTAAAATAATAAATATATTTTTTAATATAAAAAAAAAAAATTATTATTTTTGATAAAAATAAATTATTAAAATTTTTTTTTTGATTAAATAAAATAAAATAATATTTAATTTAAAAAAATAAAAAAAAAAATTAAAATAATATAATTATAACAAAAATATAAATAATCATTTATAAAATAAATAAAAAATATATTTATTATATTTTAATATTGACTTAAAAATTATATAATTATATCCCGATATTTTTATTTTTTTTTATTTTTATTTTTCTCATCCTTTAGTTAATTATATTGACTTTATATGCTTTCCTGGAATTATAACATTTCCTACCCAATATTTATTTGATTTAAATTCATTATTTAATTATTCTATTTTTTCTTAATCATTCAATATATCATCTGGTATACTTAAATAATTTTAACATTAAATTTATAATTTTAAATATGTTTTTAGATTTTAGTTAATTTGTGTAATATATTTTTCATTTATTTCCTATATTGAATCATTTAAAACTATATTTTTATCTTTATCTATACAAACTATATGCCCATAAAATTTTCTATCATCTAGTAATTCTATTCTTATAACTTTTCCTATTATTTTTTCCTCAAAATACTTTTTTTATTCTTCATTTGTCATGTTTTATTTATTATGTAAATAATAAAAAAGATATTTAATTTTTTTTTAAAAAGTATTAATAAAATTAATTTTTATATTAAAAAATATATAAAATAAAATTAATAAATCTAAAAATATAATAACCATATAAAAAATATATATTTCATATTTAGTATTTATAAGGAGGTGGTCTTATAAATTTTGTATAAGACTTTTATTATTAATTATATTATTATTAATTATCATTATATTAATAGTTATGTCTTTAATTTTTAGGTCTTTCAGATTCATAATTAAATGGAAATAATCTTTAAGTTAAATAACTATTATTTTAATATTTTATTTCTTAATTATGGGTTATAGGTAATACATGATATTATTTATTTAGTATTTAATCTTATTTATAAAAATGATTGTCATTTTAAATATTTTTTTTTTCTTAATTATCATGAGGATAGTTATTAATAAAAGATTTATTATTTTGACATAAAATTAAGTTTTTTTACATTTATTATAAAAGTAATTAATTTTAAGTTTGAATTTATTCATTTTATTTTTTTAAAGATTCGTTTTCTTATTCTATTTACAAAAGCTTAAAATCATATTGACTTTAATGCATATATATAGGATTTTTTTAAGATATATTATTACTATCAAAATGAACATTAAAGTTAGGCTTTTTATTATATTTATTATATCTAGATTCAAATGGAAGTACAGGAATTGTAAACTAAATAAATTCCTACTGAGTAATTGTTTTATCAGAATTCAAATTTTAAAATAACTTTATTCTATTTAAAATTACTTTAAAGTCAGATTCGCTTAATTATCTTTAACTTAATTAAAATATATAACTTAAATCTAAATATTATAAATTTCTTTATTCGTTTTATGTAATCTTATTATAAAATTATTTTGGATCATAAAAATAATCATTTATCAATTTAATCTTTATTAATTTATTTAAATGTATATATATATAAATATATAAATATATAATTATTTAAATATATATATACTTTTATTTTTTCAGTAAAGCGTAATAAATCTATTTCTAATATTAAAATGTTTAATAACGAAAATACTACTTTTGGAATAAAAGGTTATATCTTATCAATAGTCTTTTTTTTTTTTATTAATAATTTAACATTCGATAAAATATTTCAAAATCTATTCCATTTTATAACTTATTTATTGAATATCTCATAATTACAGATTAAATTTCTTAGTGATTAATACTTTAATCATATTAATGAACATATTCTAAAATATAATTTGAATCTAATAAGCCTTTTTATATATATTAAAATTTAATTTTAATAAAAATAATAATAATAATAATAATAATAATAATAATAATAATAATAATAATAAAAATAATATATTTAATTTATATACCAGTATACATTGATGGATACACTGATTATGTAGGATAAACTAAAGACATATCAAAATATTTTTTTTAGTTTTTTTATTATTATGTATTTTGAGATTCTTTAACAATTGCCTCGAAAACTAAGTTAGGATCAAATTCTGCCATTTTATTTAAATTTTATTAGTGCTTTTATATAAGTTTATTAGCTTCTATTTCTGATTGGAATATTTCTGTAATTAGTCGAAAATCCATTTATATATTTTTTATTATAATATTTTTTTCTATATTTAATTTTAAGAAAATTTGTTAATTTTTAAATATTTAATAATATTTTTTAAAAAAAAAATATTATCATATTATAATATATTTTTAAATACTCTTTTTTTTTAAAAAAAAATCAATCTTTAATAAAAAGTACTTTTTCCAATTTTTTTTGTTTATTAAGCTTTATAAACAAAAATAAATAAAAAAATCTAAACAAACAAATCATATTTTAAACACATAAAAATGTTTCATAAATTATATAATAACTGAAATTCATTTTTTATATCATTTATATTAAACAAACTTTTTTAGTTATCAATTTATTCAATGAATATGTTTTTAATATTTTAATTTTTGTTTTAATCCTATTTTTAATATATAAATTTTAAAAAATATTACTGTTTTTATTATCTTTACATTTAAAAATATATTTAATCCGCAAATAGAATTTTTTAGGATTTGGTTAATTTTTATGTTTTTAAATATTTTTAAAATCTTATTTTTAGAACAATTTAAAAGATATCCAATAGGTATTTTTTTAGTTAATAAATTAAAAAAGATAATACTTTATCTGAAATTAATATATAAATATTTAAAAAAAAAATATAATTAATTTGTTTACTTTTATTTTTAGTTCTAGACCTAAAAAGTGCACATTTTAGGGAAAATATTATCATTTATAAAATATTATAATATCATAAAGCAAGGGAAAATATTTAAAATTTAAACAATTAATTTGAGCATTAGCTGATTAATAAATAAAATAAAATAAAAATAATAATTTTATATAATTTACTTTTATCATATATACAAATAAAACAATAAATAAATATGAATAATAATAAACAGATATAGTAGGAAACATCGAAACTAAGAAAAAGAAGAAAATCAAAGAAATAACTTTTTAATCCCAAGTGATTTCTTTTTTATTATATTATTTAATTTGTCCTTTCATTACTTTAAAGAAAAAAATAATTAAATTCATAACTTCTTTATAGATAATAAGAAGTAGTTTGTATATAATGTATCTTATTTATTTTTTTCGTTTATATATATAATAAAAAAACCAAAATAAAATAAAAAAATTACATGTGTAAGGTTAATATATTAATAAGATCATTAATAATACAAAAAACAAATGAAATTCCAAAAAATCCAAAGAAAGACAAAAAAGTAACTAAATAAGGTTCAAAAGGAGTTCCAAAAGTAGTAAAATAATTCCATAAAATGAACAGTTTAGAGATAAGAAATCCCATAATTTTATTGAGGCTTTTGTTTGTTTTTAAACCTGCGGGATCTCCCATTAGCCACTCTACTTCTTTTTCAAGTTCATCTATATGAATTCCACTAAAATATTAATGTATAAATCCTAGAATATTCGAAACATTATAAACTATAAAGAAAATACTTAAAATACCTAGAATAGTGTCTATTGCTATATATGTTATGCCTGAAAAAAGTTACATATATATCTTTAAAATAAAGGAATATTAATATCCTTAATCCTTGTTTTTTAATATTTTAAGTAATATTTTCCAACTCTATATCACTTAGAGTTTAAATTTTATTTAGCGTAAAAAATGACTGTTTACATTATATACTGAAATTTGAAGATAAGGGAGATTTTTTTGTATTATTTTATAAGCAAATGTAAAAAAAACTTTTTGTAAAACACTTATAAGGATTATTATTTGTGTAAATTATAGATTTTTTGGTTTTAAATAGAGATTATAAACTATTTATTATAAATATTTTTTTATTTTATTTTTATTTACTATTATCTGATTTTTCATTTTCTTTTTTTTAATTTTTTAATATATTACTGAAATTAATTTAACGTATTATATATTCCAATTCAGAGTAATTAAAATGCTTATCTTATTTTATTAATGCTGAGCTATATTTTTAAACTTACAAAAGATTAATATTAAATTCATGTACTTCTAATTATTAATTATAATAGTTTTATAGTGTTGAATTTAATTAAGAATCTATTTAACATTAATTAAAAAATAAAGGATTTATCTTAAAATTATTAAATGCTTCTTTAGCTTTTTTATTATTTATATATAATAAACTATTCTTCTATATTTCATCGTATAGTATTATCTAACATTTAGTTTTGTATCTATATCCACAACATAATAGTTTTTGTATTTTAAATAATTATTGTTAAGATTATTTACGTTCTTTTATTAATATCTCTATCCATAAATCATAATTATTTATTTGTTTTTAACAATATTCTGATATTTCTTCATTTTTAGACATTATTACTATACCTAATATAGCTATTTTTCCCTTTTATTTATTATTTATTTGAATTTATATATATTTATTTACTCCACATAAGTTATTTATATTTTATATTTATGAAGATTTGCTTAATCTTTATTCTAATTCTTAAAGCTTTTTAATTAATTTATTTTAATTTTTATATTAGAGAAGTATTTTTTACATCAGTATTTTCTTCTATAAATATTATTGTTGTTTGAAAACCAGATATGTTAAATCCTTTATTAATTTTAGTTTAATAAAAAATATTTATTATATATAATTATTTTTCAATTCACCTACTAAATACCCTTTTTTATTTAATTCAGTTTTCGGAAAGAATATTTATACAGTTTCGGATGACATAAATTGTAAAATTTTTTTTTTTTTTTAAAAAAAAAAGAATAAAATAAAGATAAATAGATATATATACTATAAATTAAAAATTAAAAATAATTTAAGAAAAATATATAAAAAATTATAAATTTTATAAAATAACAAAAATGAATCTAACACTATCTGAATCAAATATCCACATAATAAGCCTATAAATTTCATAAAAATAAAATATTTTAACAAAAATAGTTGAAATAGTCCCATAATATATATTAGAAATTAAAACAATTAAAGAATTATGCAATCTTATAAGTAAATAATAAAATAAAAAGTAAATTTGGAAGTAAAAACCGATTTAACATTATAAATATTGAAAGAAAACAAGGGGGGGGCAATTTTTAAAGTATTAAAAAAAACATTAGTAAAATAAATTGGTAGAAACTTTAGTCTTATTTATAAGTAAATATGTACTTATATAATAAATTAAGCTTAAGTTTATGATTGGAGAAATATGCTTAAGATTATAAAAAATACATATAGAAGAAATTATTTGATAGAAAAATTAATATAATTATTTAGATTAAAATATTAAAAATAGAATGGATTTTTTATTTAAAATAAATACAAAATAATAAATTTATTTATCTAAAAAAAAAATGATTTTGGATAATTAATTTCCCTTATTAGATTCATAAATACTCGTTTTTATTATCTTTTAGAAGTAACAAAAAAAATCTAAATAAGTGCTATATTTTGATTTTGATAAATTATATGTCTATAGAAACAAATATTTAAACATTTATTTAATTAAATGGCCTCCAATTAAATTCTTTTGGTTAATAAAAAATGGAAAAATTATTAATTATGGAAAATTATTGATAAATTAATCGTTTTTAATAAAAAAAAATTGCGGATTATATAAATGATATATATATTCTTTATGATGAAAAATAAAATATTTTCGAAGATTTTTAAATTTGGAGAAAATATAGAGTTTTTTTTAATTAAAAGAATGGGATGGAATATAAAGAAAAATTAGAAATTTTTATGATTAATAAAGGATAATTGTAAGAAGAAAAAAAAAATGGATAATGAATGAGAGAAATTAGGTTATATTGGAAAGTACAGTTTCTTATTTAAAGAAAAAATGCTAATTTTGGAGAAATAATTGTATTAATTAAAAATTGAAAAGGTAATTTATAAAATTAAAGAAAAAAAATTTTATATTTATATAAAAATATAGAAAAAAAATATTAAGATAAGAAATTAAAAAGAATTTTAGTAAATAAAAAAATAGAAAAAAAAAAGATATTATATAAATAAAAATATAAAATATAAATTATTAAATTATTAAATTTTAAAATTTTAAATTAATATTAATTATAAATTAATTCTAAATTATTAATATTTCAAAAAAAAAAAAAAAATTTTAGATATATAAAAAAAAAATATATTCAATTATTTAAGAATAAATAATGAAAAAGTTTGTTATAAAAAGAAAATATATAATATTAATTAATACATATATTTATATTTAAAATTTATAAAATATATATAAAAAATATTTATAAAATATAATTTTTTTATATATGAAATTATAAATATATATATAGATATATATATATTTTTTTTTAAAAAAATTAGTATAGATATTTATATATATTAAAATATTAAAAAAAAAAATTAATTATATAATGTATATAAATTAAGATTTTTGGAGATCAGAATAAAAAAATTAATTATATTAATATAAAATATTATATATTAAAAATATATATTTATATATATATATTTATATATTTATATATTTATATTTTTTTATATTTATATATTTTTAGTTTTTTAGATTAGTATTTAATTTTTTATAAATTTTTTAAAAATATTATATTTTTTTTATTTTATTTATATATTATATTGTTGATTATTCTGAATATTTTTGAATATATATAAAATATTTTGATTTTTTTTTAATTACATTTAAATATATATTATTTGTATAATCCTTTATAAAAATATTACAATAAGATGTCTTATATTATAAATATATTGTCATTTTTATATAATTTAAGAATTTTAAATTATATATCACTTTTACATTAAGATTTTATAAAGTATATACAATCGATTATTTAATAGTCGCGCGCGCGGGAAAATTTTATCATAAAATAACTATTTTTTGTGATTATTCTAATGACGTTTGTTGTTTAGTTTTTTACATAAATATAATCAATATTAATGATGTGTTATCATAATATATTTCTTATTTTTTTATATTTTTAATCCTTATATAAAATTTAAACTTATATAATAAATATAAATTATAATATTTTGGAATAATTAACCTTGCAACATTAATATATTTAATAAATATGAAATAATTTTAATATTTTAATTTAGAAACATATATAAACTCAGATTTTAAAATTATTTTCATATAACCTTTAAAAAAGATAGATTTACAAATATATACAATGTAATTTTTATGAATATTAAATTTAGACATTTTAGATATAATTTAAATATATAAAAAACAAGCTATAATATATTTATTGAATAGATAAGCGTTATTTTAAAATGAATAAACTGTATTCTTGTTAAAAATTTGTAATTTGAATCATCTGTTTAGTGATTTTTGGGGTTAAATATTTTTTTTTACTTATTAAAAAATAAAAAAAATTATTTAATAAGGATTTATACTAAAAGAAATTTGTTCTTAAAAATAAATAAATTAATTTTAAATAATAGTAGGTTATTAAATAAGAGTTTGAAAAAAGATAATTGATTTTTTTAAAATTTTTGTTTGTGTATTTTAAGTAGTTTTTTACAATATTAATTTAATTTATAAAAAAATAAGATATTTAATATTTTATATTTTATTAATTTAAAAAAATTAATTTTATTAAAAAGTAAATGAATAACAATTAAAACGTATATTTAATTTTACATAAAAATATTTTATCAAAAAATAAGGTTTTAATCGGAGCTATTGATTAAAGTACTACATCAACTAAATTTGGAGTTTTCGATTAATAAGGGAATTTAATTGATATAGATATTATACCACATGATTAAATTTCTTAACATCCAGGATGGTTAGAACATAATCCTTAATAAATTCTAAATAATCTACATACTTCGATTAATAATTTAGTTTCAAGATTACAAGAAAAAGGTTATTCTTTGTCTGATCTAAAAACTATTGGAGTTACTAATTAAAGAGAAACTGTTGTAGCTTGGAATAAACATACAGGTATATATTAAATTATATATATATAAAAAATTTTAGCATAGTTTTTTTTATTTTTTCTATAATTTTTTATTTAAAAACATAATAAACAAAAACAATCCATTTTTTTGTTGATTGTATTTTTTTTAAAAAATAAAAATAAAAAAAATTATGGAAAAAATATAAAATAAAAATGTTAAAAAGTAGCAAACTTTTAAATAATAAAAGTAAATAGGAAAACCTTATTATAATGCTATTGTATGGTGTGATAATAGAACTTAATATGTTTGCGAAAAATTCACTTAATAACATGCAGGAAATAGCAATATTTATTAAAATATTACTGGATTACCAATAAGTACGTATTTTACTGGATTTAAAATTAGATGGTTTTTTCTTTTATTGGATAAAAAATATATTTTTTATTTTACTATTATTATAAAAAAAGGCTAATTGAAAATGTTTAATAAATAAGAGATGAGTTAGATACTAATGTTATTTTTGGGACTATGGATTCTTGGGTTATATGGGTTTAAAAATAATATGATAAAACATATAATTTAAATTAATTATATAAAAAAATAGAATTTAACAGGAAATCATTATACCGATGTGACTAATGCTTCTCGAACATATTTATATAACATAAATAATTTATAATATGAGGAAAAATACTTTCGTATATATATATATATATATATTAAATAAAAAATATAATAAAAAAATAAGTGAATTAAAAATTCCAATAAATACTCTTCCAATTGTACTAGCAAGTTCAGATAATTATGGAACAATAAAAGAAGGCACTTTAAAAGGAAAATAAATTTAATCATGTTTAGGAGATTAATAAGCAGCAGCTTTAGGTCATGGGGTTTTAAATATAGGAGATTGTAAAACTACATTCGGTTCTGGGAGCTTTTTGCTTGTAAATATAGGAGAAAAACCAATTTATAAAGAAGGAGGTTTATTAACAACTATTCTATATAAATTAGGAAAAAATTAACCTACTTTTTATGCTTTTGAAGGTTCTATAGAAGTAGGAGGATCAACTTTGAATTGGGCAAAGGAAAATTTAGGACTTTTTAAAGATTACGAAGAATTAGCTAGTTTAATAGAATAAACTTAGGATAATGGAAATGTTTATTTTGTTCCGGCGTTAAATGGATTACTTTGTCCTTATTGGTAAAGCGGGGCTTAAGGAATTATTAGTGGTATTAGTTTTTATACTAAAAAAGAACATATATTAAGAGCTCTGTTAGAAGGAATAGCCTTTAGAACAAAAGATGTATTTATTTTATAAAAATAATAAAAAAATAATATACAAATATATATATATAAATATATATATATATATATATATATATATATATATATTTATATTAATATATATATATATTCAATTATATATACATATTAATTAATATTTTAATTATTAAGGTTATAGTTAATATTGAATAGTCTACTGAAATGAAAATTGATTTGTTAAAAGTTGATGGCGGTTTAACTAAAAGTAAATTTCTTCTTTAGTTTTTAGCTGATATTTTATAATAAAATATTCTTAAAACTAAAGTTTCTGAAAGCACAATGCTAGGTGTTGCTTTTGCAGCTGGTATTTTTTGTAATATTTATATAGGATTAAATGAATTAAAATAATATATTTTTGTTAACGAATAAATAGCATTTAATTAAGATAATAATAATAAAAACTAAGTTTTATATTAAAATTGGCTTGATACTGTTAACAAATCTATTAATAAATGAAAAAAGAAAATAAAAAATAAATAAAAAATATCAATTTAAATATATTTACTAATATTTTATTTTTTTTATTTAAAGAATAATAAATACTATTTTTAACAAAAAATATAATTTTATTTTACAAATATAAATAAATATACATATAAATTAAATTAAATATTAATTTTAAAATTATATTATTATAATAATTATCGTTTTTAATATTAAATAAGCTCGGGTAGCTCAGTTGGTTAGAGCGTGGGTCTAATAAACCCAAGGTCGAGGGTTCAATCCCCTCCTTGAGCATTTTTTTTTTAATATTATTTAAAAGAATATATTTTAATAAATTAAAATTTTAATTTTTATAATATTTTATTTATCACAAATTAAAAAAAAAAAATATTTAATAGAATTAATAAAAAAAATGCTTTTATAAAAACAAAATGTTATTTAATATTTAAATCCTTACGAAAAGGCTTAATTAATAGAAAGAAATAAATAAAAAAATATTGAAGACTTAAAAATCAAAGTTAATTAATAAATATATGAAAAAGAAGCTGCAAAATGGGAAAACAAAGGGATTAAAATAAATTAATAAAAATATATAAAAAGCAGACTAGAAGAACTTAGAGATAAATCCTAAAAATTTTTAAGTTTTAGAAGACTTAAATTAAGTATGAAACTAAAAGAAGAACATGAAAATTATAAAAATATGATAATATAAGCTATTGATAATAATCATAACATAAAAAAAAGTATGTTTGAGAAAGTAGCATTATTAAAACATGAAAAAGAAATGGAAAGAAGTAAATTTGTATAAGAAAAAAAAGAATAATAATTTATTAGAAATACAGATGAATTAAGATAAATTGAAAGTAAAATTAAAGAAATATAAACTTATTAAGAATAGAATATTTAAATGTTGGAAAAATAAAATTTAATGGAATAAAAATATTAAGGTATTTTTTTTTTGTTAATTTTATATAATGATAAAAAAAAAAGAGGAAATGATTTTTGCTGAATTAAATAAAATTGAGTTGAGGAAAAAAGAAAAAGATCAAAAAAAGAGTTATTAAGATAATAAACTCTAAATTAAGAAAGAAAGAAAGTTTTAAATTAATAAATGGTATTTTTGTTTTTTTTGTTTTGTTTTAATATATATAATGAAATTGTTTATTAAAAAACAATAAAAATAAATAGGATTTAAATAAAAGAAAATAAATAGAAGAAAAAGTATTAATTTAAAAAGAAAATGAAAGCTTAAATAATGAATGGAATATTTAAAAAGAAAAAGATTAATAATTAAAATAATAAAAAAACGAATTTAATAAATAACTTAATTAATCAATTAAATTTAATAATGAGGAAATTCAATTAAGAAAATAATATGAAAAAACTACTGAAAAAAGTAAAATAAAGAATTTTTAGATTAAATTGTTCGAAAGGAATAAATGATAAATCAAATCGAAGTCATTGAAAAAATAAATAAAAAGAAGAAACTAAATAACTCTTATTAAACTATCGAAACAGAGCACATTAAGCTTAATAAAATTAAGAAGAATTAGATAAATTTATTTAAATGGAAGCTGAAAAACAATAACTAAGATAATAAGAAATATGGGACAAAGAAATAGTATAATATAAACAATAGTTATTTATATATTTTATTTTTTAAAAAAGGAATAATAAAATAGAATTAATGTATGATGTATATGATTCTAGAAAGGCAGAAATCGAATATAAATGTATTTTTTTTTAAAAAAAAAATACAATTGTTATTTAAAATATATATATAAAAAAAAGAAAAACTTAAAAAAAATTAGTCTTAATATAAAAATTTAGATAGAGATATTATTAATAAAGCAATTGAAGAATATAAAAAGAATAAAAATAAAATAAAATTAATTAATATTTAGTAATTATAAATAAAAAGCATATACATATTATTTTTTATTATATTATAATTTTAATAAAGAATAATAAATAATATTAAGGACAATTAGTTTAATAAATTTTTCAAAAAGAAATATAAAAATAAGAATTCTAAGCTTAATTAAGAAACGAAGAAGAATCAAAAATGCAATAAGAAAAAGAATATCAATAAAAAATATAATAAAAAAAAATGGAGGGATTAAAATTAGTAATTAATAAATTTATCTATTAATAATAATATATAAATAAAACAATAAAAAAAATAGTTAACTCAATTAAGATAAAAAAGACCATTTTGAAAATAGATTATTTATTACTAATTTTTTTTTATTTATTTTTTAAACTTTTTAAGGAAAAAAAAATTTAAAATTCACTTCTAATATTATATTAACCTCAGATATTTTAGAAATCGCAAAAACTTCTCTCTTTTATCTTTTACAGAAGATTATTTTATAAAATTCGTGAATAAAAAACTGGTCTATAGATTTAATAATCTTTATTCCGTTTTATTGATTACAAAAATATCCAAAAGGTTTATTTTGGTTAATCTTTAGTGAAATATACTATTTAATAATCATTATGTTCTTATATTATTATTATTTTTTAATAATGTAGGAGAATTAATATTAAATTAATATAATAAAATAAAAGTAGCTTTTTATAAAGTATTATTTTAATTTAATTTCAATCAGGAGTATTTTAAAAAACCCCATCTTTTTTTTTTTTTTTTTTTTTTTCAAAAATATTCTAATTATTATTTCTCACTTTCTTTCTTTTTTCATTTAACTTTTTTTCTATATTTTATCTTTAAAATATGTTACTACACCTGGAAGCTTTTTATGGATTTTTTAGAGACTTATAAATTTACTGGTTTCTTAGATAAATAGGAAATAATTAATAATTAGCAGGTAAGAGCGTATTTTATTAATATAAAGAGTAGAATTTTTTACTTTAGGAATATTTTCGAATTTAAAGCTAATTATTTTTGTTTTGCTAATATATTTAATTAATTGCATAATATAATAACAGTTTCTTAATTAACTTTAAGATACAGTTTTTTAATATATTATTAAATTGTTCATAAGTTTAGATATTATTTATGATTGTGGTTTTTTATTTTTTCATTCTATGCTTTGTTTTTAATATTAATTTAGTACAAGTGTTTTTAATTTAAAGTTTTAAATCTTTATGGTTTTCTATATTTTTGGTTTTTTGTATATTCGGAACTATTCTCGAATTAATAATATCTAATTTTTTATATTTATAGAATAACTTTTTATTCAACTATAAGATTAGTTGAAATTAGAAATGATTCTATATATTATTATATATTTAGACCTTTATCAATAAATAAAAAACCTGTCAGATACGAGATTTTTATTTTATTTTATTTTTGTTATATATTAATAAGGTTTATATTTTAGTCTTTTTATTTTACCAAAATAAAAATTTTATATTGTAATTAATATTTTAATTTATTTATTTTATGGAATATAAAATAAAGCAGATATATATTTTTTTCATTTATTTATTGGTTTTTTAATGATTTATAATGATTTATTGTTTTATATTTTAAATAATTTTTGTTTGATATAATTTTTTTTATTTAAATTTGTCATTTGGTAAATAAAATTACAATTAAAGTATTTTTGTATATGAAGTTTTTTGTTCATTGGTATATATTAAAATTTAATTTTATTTAAATAATTATGCTATTAATTTTATATGTATGAATTATTTTTTGTTAAATTTTACATAATAATATTTTTTAAATAAAAATATATTATTTTATTTAATAAATTTAATACTTAATATAATTTTATGTTTAATAAAACTAATTATTATAATATACATAATATAAAAAATGTATTTTGAAAATAGAAAATAAAACTCAAATAAATTGGTATTTCTATTTTTTTTTCTTTTACTATAATGGCAAAACTAATGGACAAAGATAAGCAGTACTTTTTTAAAATAACCTGTTTTATTTTTAAAAGATCTTTTTTTGCTACTTTAAAAACTAATTTTATTATTATAATTATATTAAGTTGGAGTTAACTAATTATAACAATAATCGCTTGTATTTATTTATATAATTTTATGCAAATTTTTAAATTACTTTTTGTACAATTTTTGGACTTTTTCATGATTGCTTTATTTATTTGAATTATTTTCATTTAAATAAATTGATTCACCTTTTTTTCTTTTTCATTTTAATTTCCATTTTTATTTCCGTTTCCGTTTCCATTTCCATTTTCATTTTAACTTTCAATTTCATTTTAACTTTCATTTTAACTTTCATTTTAACTTTCATTTTAATTTTAACTTTCATTTTAATTTTAATTTTCATTTTAATTTTAATTGTAATTTTCATTTTCATTTTAATTGTAATTTTCATTTTCATTTTCATTGTAATTTTCATTTTCATTTTCATTTTCATTTTAATTTTATTTTTAATTTTCATTTTCATTTTAATTTTTATCTTTATTTTTATTTTTATTTTCATTTTTATTTTCATTTTCTTTTTCTTATTGTTTTTCTATTTCTATTTGTTTTAGTATTTCTTTTTCTAAATTATAAATATAAATTCCTAAATTTTATTATTTTAAATTAGGAAAGTTTTCTTTAAGAATTTTATTTTTTTATTCATTTAGAATATAGTTTTAATAAAAATTACTATTTTAACTCAATTTTTAATTATCTTTTAATTATTTGATATGCTCAAAATTTTATTAAGTTTCTAAAGGAATTTAAATAAATCCTTATTTTGTTGTCTAAGAAGATTTATTTTAATTAACACTTTAATATTTTTAAGAATTATTAAACTTTAAAATAAGATTACCTAACGTTTTAACGCCTTTTTCCATATTTGAAATTTATATTTCTTAATTATTTAAATTATTCTAAACTCCTATATTATAATCATTTTTATTAGTTAAATCTCCTACATTTAAAATTTAGTATTTTTATTAATTATAAAGAAGGTTTTATCCTTTTTATTTTTGATAGATTCCTATAAATTTAGTTGAAAATCTTCTTTTTTCTGATTTTGTTTTAGAAGCGCCTTTTAATTGAAAAGCCTTAAATTATTTATTTTGATTATTATGGACTTAAAAGCTTTCTTAAAATTTAGAAATATTATTTTAGATTAAATTAAAATGACTTTTATTGTTTATATTATAGACAGGCGAATTAATGTTCGAGGTTATACTTTTAAAATATTAAAAGTTAGAAAAATTTACATTTTTAAATTATTTTTTGTCAGTATCTAATTTATAATAATTTTTATCTTAATTATTTGAATTATAATTTTATAATTATAACATTAAATTATTTTATTATTATTATTATTATTATTAAATATTATTATTAATATTATTATTAATATTTTGTCTTTTTTGTTAAATAATTATCTAGTTAATTATTTTACATCTACTTTTATTTACATTAAATAAAACTATCTTATCTTTATAATATAAATGAGTTTTTATAACTCAAAGATTTTAAGATTTTTTATTATTAGTTATTATTTATTACTATTTAATCTTTTTCTTAATTTAAATTTGTTTTTTTTTGTTCTATTTTGTTATTTATATGCTAATTTATTATTGACTTAGTTAAAATATATTCAAATTTTTAGCATTTTGAATTTTGTTTTCCTGTAAATTTACAATAAGTAGATTTTCTACGAAAAATACGATAAAGAAAATTGTTTTTTACTTAATTTGGATATAAATTACCATTTTCTTCATCATATAATGTTTTTATCATTTTCTCTTTAGGTGTATATAATTCTTTTTTTATTTTTAATGTAATTTATTTTCAAGTTTAATTAAATGATTATTTACTTTAATTTTTTGATTAAATAATTTTAGTGTTTTCAAATAAAAAATATTTATTTATTTCTTGCTATTTAAATGAGTCATTTAACTTTAACTTTTTTGTATATTAAGATATATTCAATATAAACTTTAATTATTCTTATTTATAGTCTATTATTTCTTAATTTTAATAGATTTTTGGCTTTTATAAATTTATTTATGAACTTGAATGAATATTTATACTTTTTTATTGAAAGTAATTATTTATTTATGTTAAGTTATTTTTCATTATAGGACTTTAATGCATTTTTTTTAATAAAATTAAATAATTTATTATAAAATATAAGTTAAAAAAATTAATTTTATTAATTTATTAAAAATAAAAATTATTAAAACTATAATTTGTTTAATTAATATTATATTTATTTATTTATATTAATAATATGTTATGCATATAATTAAATTTATCATAAAATAGTTTATTTATATTCTTTATTATTGAAGTTAGAGTATAATTTAATAATGTAAACTTAATTCAAATATTAATATTTATCATTTTTAATTATATAAGTATTTATCTATTTTTAATGTCTTACTTTTTATGTTTATTATTAAATTTAAAAATTTAAATTAATTTTTGAAAAAAATATATAATACTTCTTTTTTATCTTCTATTAAATTCATATTCTAATCACCTTTATATAATAATTGATTTAGACTTGGCCAAAAGTCCATAATAGGTATTCATTTTTTGATAATTTGTATAGGTTTTTTAAACATAATTGCGTTTTTCTTCTTTTAAAAAGTTTTTTATACAGAACTTCATAATGAGAGCTAGCTAGATTTGAACAAAACTCATAATTTTATCTTAGTATAACTTACTATTCATATGAAGCAAATATTATTTAGATATTTATCACTATGTATATATATAAATTAACTTCTAATCAATTTGGTATAAAATAATGTTTTTAGATTCGACTATTTTAAATTAAAATTTATCATCTTTTGGATTTAAATTTAAAATAGAATTCATCATCTAATAATTGATAATAAATAATCAATTTTAGGTAATAATTATAAAAAATAAATATTAGTATATTTTTAAAAAATCTTATCTATTCTATATATGTGATTGGAATTCAATTTTTTTACTTAAATCTTTTATTTAACTCTTATAGTTTAAGTAATTCTTATTCTTTTAATTACTATGGATTTTCTTTACTAATTTTTCGAATTAAAAATATGCTTTCATTTAAAAGCTTTTTAAGTAATTATCTAATGATAGTTTTGGAAAATGAAAATTTTTGAATTTATCTTTAATAAAAGCTTTACCTTTATGCTTTTGATAAAATTTCTATAAAATATATTTGATATCTATATGTTTTTATATTTATTGTATTTTATATTAGGTAAAATTGCTTTTATATATTATAAATAATATTAAATAAAGTATTAAAATTATTATTTTAAATATATATATATATATATATTATATTAAATTTAAATATTATTCAACACTTGATATTTATTTATTGTTAATATTATTTATTATCTTTAAAAAATGCTTATTTAAATATAAAGAATGCAAATTAAATTTAATTAATATTTTATATTTAAAAAATATTAAAATATTATTTATAATTAATAAATATTAATTTTTTAATTTTTTTTATATATATATAAGTATAATATAATAAATAATATTAAATTATACTTTTACAAAAAAATTAATTAATAAATATATATTTAAGATATAGATATTTTTAGCAAATTAATTAATTATTTAAATTAATAAATTTAATTAATAAAATAATATATATTCATATTCATGTTTAATAAGTTTATTATTTTCTACTCTATATTTAAGGAGAAAACATATTAAAACTTTAATTCGAGTTGAGATAAATATGTGGAAAAGGACTTTAAAGTAATGGAGATTGCTATTATTCTATAATTCTATCAATTTGATTATATTAAGGCATTTAATAATTTTATTATTATTACTGTTATTATTATAATTATTGTTATTATAGTATTTATTCTTAGGAAATTATACAATAGTCTTAATTATTATAAAAATTTTGATTATTAGTTATTACATTAGGTATTTTTTATTGGAAAATATTATTTTTTAATTTATTTTCAGATTTGTTTTAAATATTTTATTACTAAAGTTTATTATTTTAAACATATTTTATTTCACTTTGACTGTTTGAAATTAAATCAGAAATTACTTTTTTTTAGTTTATTAATAAAATATCTTCCATATTACTTCTTTCAGTTATTTAGCTTTCTTAACTAGATTTAAATCCAAATATTTCCTCAGAATTTTTACTAAATACATCCTTTAAATGATCCTGAGCTTATTTTAAAGCTTCCTTTAATAAATCCTAACATCCATCATCTTAAGATTTCGAAGATGTCTTAGCTTCTGCAATATGAATATATGGAGTTATTATATATTCAGAGGAGTTTTTCGGATTTATTGTTCTTATTAATATCGTATTTATTATTTTAGATTTTCGATCTCTTGTTTCTTTTTTTATTGTCCTTCCTTGTTATTCGTATACTTTTATTATGGCTTTACATGTTGATAATTTAAGATTGAAAAATTCAGCTACCTATATATTTTTTTATTTAATAATTAAAAATATAAATAATTAATTTATTTTTTACTTCTTTTATATTCATATTCTCTTATTTTACTTTATTTATTATTGTCTATCTCATCTCATTCGATATAACATTATATTTTTTAGAGTTTTAATATTTACTTTTTTAACTATTAGTGAATAATTCTTCTTTAATTTGATTTTGGAATTCGATTTTTGTTTATTCTTATTAAAATGACATATTTTTTTTTAAATTAGTTTATTTATTATTTGTTTTTTTTGTTTTTTTTTGGTTATTTTTATTATTTTTTTTAATATATATATATATATATTTATTATTTTTTTCCTTCTTATTTTAGTTTTTTTTCTTTTTTTTTATATAATTATTATTTTGTTTGATTTAAATATTTGTGGTTAATTATTTTTATAAATTTATAATAAAACAATTTTTTTTGTTTATCTTCTGATAATATGAAAAAAAAATAAAAATAATAAAATAAAATTGATTCAACTAATACAAAAAATAATTTTATTTTATTTTTTATAAAAAAAGAAATAAAAGAATATTTTAAACTAAAAATATTTAAGCAATTTATAATATTAATAAAAATATATAATAAAATTCTTATCTATATAAACCATTCAGTAATAAAAATATTAATTTGTAATAAATAAATTATAAAAACTAATACAATTATATTATATATTAATTTATAATTTTGAATTTAATTTTTTCAAATACTTTTTTTCAATTTTATATCATTTTAATTATATACTTTTCTGAATATTTTTATTCATTTATTTAGTTAAATAATATTAATATGAACAATAAAAAATTATAATATTCCTAAAATAAGGCAAAATGCTTATATTTCTTTTACAATAATAATATTTTTATATGGAATCAATAATAATTTAATATACAGTCTATATTTAAATAAATTTTTAAATATTATTATTAATATTCAAAAAAAAAAAATTGTATTTTAATAACAATTTTAAAGAATTATTTTTATTTTAATTCTTTATGAAAAGAGCTTTCAAGAATTAAAATAAAAGTTAAGTCATTATAATTTCTATAAAATTATTATTTGTTTAAGTATATTTTAAATATTTATTATTAATTTATTTATTTAAGATATTTTATATATGTTTTTTATTTGTATAATATAATTAATATTATTTTAAACCTATTTGTAATTTTCTTATATTGTAGATAATTAAATTTTAGCACTATTAACAATTATTATATATATATATTTTTTTTATTAAACCATGAGTTTTAATATTAAAGTAGTTTTATTGTGTTCAAAACAGTTTATTTTGATATTTTTATTAATTTGAAGTTGGCTAAATATCAACACATTAAATTATTATTCGTTATCATTATTTGAAACAATGTTTAATTTTACTTAAAAATTTTTTGGACGAACTATGCGAATTATATATATATTAATAAAAATATTTTGTATATTTATTTTTAGTCAATCATAATTTTTTTTTTTTTTTCACATATCACGAATAAGTAAAAATATAATATTTATAAAAAAAAATCTTTGAAAAAATACAATTATGGAAAAAATATATATAAATTTTATTTAAAATAAAAAAAAGAAAAAAAATATAAATCAAATATAAATATATTATAAATTAAAAAAATAGATTTTAATATTAAATTAATTAATAAAATATATTTTGTAACATTCAATATATATTTATTAATAATTAAATTTCTATAATTTATATATTTTTTTTTCATTTTATTAGAATATTTTGTTTCTTTACTACTATAAAGCCTTTATAGCTCAGTTGGGAGAGCGTAAGACTGAAGATCTTACGGTCCTCGGTTCGATCCCGAGTGAAGGCATTTTTTTTTTTTTAATAAAAATAAATAAAAAAGATATATATTTTTTAATTAATTAATTATTTTGAAAACAATAAAAAATATTTCGATTTAAATTTAATTTATAAATATAATTTATTTTTTTATACATAAAACAAAAATTATTATATATATATATATATATATTTTTTTATTAATTAATTTATTATTTCAATAATCATAATCATTATTATATTCGTTCTCTTTCGTACTATCATCATAACATTAATTTAAATTATTTTCTGCTCTTTCATAATATCTTTCATCCGGTTCTAGATTTTCACCATACTAAAATAAATAAAATATATGTACATGTTTAAATGAAAATATTAAAATAATTACATTTATGCATGTGTCTGCTTCAGCCAATAAATCAAGAATTGTTTCTTCGTCATTAATATCAAGCTTTTTAATAGAAACTAACCCAAAATCTTTGATTGTTTATTATAAAGTTCTTGTTAATTTATTATATCTTTTATCAAACTCGCTCATTTTATCTTCATCTATAATATCTATTTCATCAATAGCATCTGCGAAATCTAAATATCTTCATATATATTTATATTTTATATGAAAATATTAATAAAGAAAATTAAATATTACTAATCAATCATTTATTTATCTGTTATTAAATCACATTTTGTTAATACTGTTAAATGTGGTAATCCTAAACTAACCATTGCAGTTAAGGCTTATAAAACTCCTGAAATAAACTTACAGTTGTCTGCAATAAAAGTAATGTCTAACATATATAATGAACACAAGCTAAAACCTATATTTTAAATACAATTAGTAATCCTATTCATTAAATCCATATGAGTATATAGCTCTATTTATCCCGGACAATCAAAAATAACATAATCATCTGATGCTAAGTCACTTAATTATTCTTCTAGCCAGTCTAAATTTTATAGTAGATATCTTTTTTTTTTTTTTCAATTTTTAATATTTTATTTATTTGCTATTTTTACTCCATGCAATATACTAGCCCTCCATTTGGTCCTAATTTAAGTTCATCCATAACATCGTCTAATGTAATTAAATCTCTTATGTCTTTTTATTTATATTTTTATATTTATTTCTAGCCTATATTATAGAGTTTACCTATATCACATCTATATTTAAAGTTATCAGCTGCAGGATCTAAATTTACTATTAATATATTTCTTTTTAATAATTATGCATTTTATTGCATTATGTAACAATAACTTGACTTTCCACTTCCTGCAGGACCTACTACTAATTAACCGAAATATATTCCTTAGTTCATTTTTTATTTTTTAGTATAAAATTATGTTTTTTAGAAAAAAAAAAAAATTAAGTTAAATTTAATTTAATAGTTATTATTTATATATTATTCATTTATTAAAATCAAAATAATATATATTAATTTTTTATAAAGTTTATTCATAAATATAAAAAAAATTAAAATATATTATTTTCATTCAAAATTTTATTCATTTTAAGCCTTTAATTTCAAATATTTTCTCTTTAATTTTTTATTAATTTAAATCCTATTGAAATAAGTATATTTTCCAAAAGCTTTATTTAGTTATAACATATTTTTTGTATTTTTCGGTAAATTAGATATAAAATTAGAAAAGTTATGTTTAGGATAATAAAACTTAAACTCTTGAATAGTTTCGAAAACAATTACTTAATTTTATAAATTAGAATCATTTTAATTTTTACTTTTAAAAAAATTATCTTAATAATAAGTTTTATTGCTTTATTAATTCAGAATTAGTTTCGCTTATTATATTTTTGCTTCCCTTTTGCTATTTAAATTATTTTAATATCCTTACATATACATCTTGAATTTAAAATAATTATTATCACCCTCATCTGAAATAGGTATAGAAGTAGTTTTATTATTATTATAATTAGATAGTTTTATTTCATTTTCGAAATTATTTGATAAAACAATCGATTATTTTTTCATATTAGAATTTTCTTTTGTAAATTATTATTATTATTTATAACTGACATTATCTATAAATTTAATCTATTATTATGTTTGATTATTAATACTTTACATACTAACAGAAGATAAATTAGAAAGTGAATTTTCTTTTATAATTTTCATCTATTAGGTCTAGTTTTGATTATTGTTAACTTTTTTTAAGTTTTTAACTTATTTATCTTAGTTTTTTAAAATATTAATATTATTATTTTCTTCTTTTTTTTCCGAAAATAAAAAATCTCCCTTTACTTTTAAATTTTCGTCATCATTTTTATTTAAAAAATCGTCTTCATTTTCCGAAGAATTAAAATAGAAACTTGAAATATGAATTTTTTCAAGAATTTTGACATTTTTAATAGCTTTATATTTTTGCTTTTTTGCTTCATATTTTCTTTATTTACGATTTTATTATTTGTCCCATACATTATATTTTAGTATTATTTTCTCTTTATCAAGTTTTAAATGTAATAAATGACAATCATTCAAATAATGTCCTTCTCTATTACATGAATAACATCGTGTATTTATTGGAAATGTAATCTTTTCAGAAATCATTTTGTCACGGATTTAACAGTATATTTCAAAATCTTTTGGAAATTTTTTAATAACTTTTAAGAATATTTATCTTGAAATAGTATAACATTTTGCAAAGGAACTGCATTTGGCCCCAAGAGTCCTCGAAGTTCCTATTAGGAAACTTATTTCTCCAAAATACTGATTTTTTTTGAGAGTTTTGAGTATTTGGAATTCATTATTTTCTTCAATTTTTTCTATGTAGAGTTCGACTTCACCACTTTCAATAAAATAAAAATCTGGGTCTTATCGAAATTCGTTTGGGGTAAAAATAATTTCATCTTTAGCTATTTTTTATTTATTTAAACAAAGACATAAGACTTGTAGAAATTCATAGGAAAACTAATTAAAAATTCCTTTACATTATTTAAGAATTTACATATAGGCATCAATAATTACTTTATCTTTTAAAGAAGGAGAAAGCTTGTTTAAAATATAAGATTCATTTTCAAGGGAAATATCTTCACTTTAATTGTGCTAATATTCGAGATATTTTCTTACTTAATATTTTATATCGGGATTTATATTTACTTTTTCCATATAATAGTTTACTAAACATAAGTCTTTTTTGAATTCTTTACTTCTCTTATTCATATCTTATACTATTACTCCTATTAAATTAAATGAATATGCAAACATTCCACATAATGTTAATAATGCAAATATAACAAATAAAGTCTCAATTTAGTTTTTAGGATAAATATCCCCGTATCCTACTGTAGTCATTGTTGTTACACAGAAATATAATGAATATGTATATTTTTCATGCCATTTTGTATTATTAAAGTTATCACCTTTTATTTTAAACCAAGTAATACTTTCTTTATTTAATTTTAAAGAAGATGTTGATATATATATAAAGGCACAGGCAAATATATGAGCAACAAAAAATATCTCCATTAATAACCAAATTAATTTTATTATATATGGAAGTGATGAATTTTAGTTTGATATGAAAGATTCTTAGATTTCATTTAAAATTTTCTTGAATTTCGGAAGTTTTACTAATATTAATAAGTTAGTTTCTAAAGGAAGAAAATTAAATATATCTTTTTTTTTTTTTTAATTATGAAAAAAATTATTAATATTATTGAAATAATATATACTTCCAAATAATGTAAAAGCAGATAAAAAATCTAAAATAAATTAATATATTAAATATCTTTTTGCTATTTCAATTCTTGAAGTTTATATTACCCCTTCTTTGTAAAAACCTGTGTTTAGGGAAATTATAATATCAAAAAGGAAAAAAGTAACAATAAATTTTAACCAATAAGAATAAAAAGAATAAATTAAATCGAACTTTTGATCAACTGCAGTTTCAATAGGAAATGAAAAAATAACAATCATAATTAATAAACAATGTATTAATTCCCATAAAAACTTAAACTTTGTACTAGGATGAATTACTTTTAATTGTGATATTTGTTTTGTTATAATGGCGCATATATATTAAAAAATATTTGTAAACATTTTTTCTTTTATACTTTAATAAACTTTAGTAAAAAAGAATCTATTTTTATGAGTCTTTTCTATGCTTAAAAATGAAGCATCTTAGATTATATTTATTTGAAATTCGTTAAGATATTATATATTTTTTAAAGGACTAAACATTATAATTTTATAAATAAAGTTTTACATTTTTAAATGTAAATTTAATGCATTTCTTATCAATTTTATACTCTGTTACTTTTTTATTTAATTTTATACGACTATATATTTTTCACATTCAAATTCATTAAGTATTTTCTCATCAATTATATTTGAATCTTATATATTAGGTTATATATCGCTATTTATATTTATTGCTTTTAGTTATTTAAATTAAACTTTAGGAGATTTTATTCGCTCTTCTTATTAAAATTATTATTTTTATTATTATTGTTTAGAAAATTAATCTAGCTCTTGGTTTGCATCTGTAAATATTGTATCAGTTCTTTCTTAATTCAGTTATAAGTTGATAATTCTTTTTTTTATTAGATGATTTTATGGACTATTTTAAAACATTTATTTAATATTATGTAGTTTTATATGGTATGTATTATTAAATATTTGTAAAAAACTTAATATTATTATAAAAAAATTCTGAATATTTTTTTTTATATAAATATTTTTATTTTTGTATAAAATTGATATATTTTTTTGTAATTTTTATTTAAATATAAACTATAATTTATAATATTATTGAAATAATATATTAACATTTATTATTTAATAAATATAAAAATTTAATGAAATATATATTATAATATTAAAATAAAAAATATTTATAGTTTATAATAAAATGATTTTTATTAATAAAATAAATATATAAAAAAAGATTTACAAAACTGTTACATATTATTTACATACTTTTATTTTAATTAAATAAATAAAAATATTAAATATTTTATTTTTTATATTATTTATAAATATATTTTTATATTAGTTATAATATATAATTATGTATATATTTTTTAGATAAATTTTAAAATAATATATTATTTTATATTTTTTTTGAATAATAATATTCACTTAAATAATATTTTTATTAAATAATACACTAAAATCATAGTTGTTACATAATAAATCAGCATTAATTTTGCTTAATCTTTATCTGTTTTTAAATTGTTATTATTAGATATTTTTTTTAATTCTTAACTCTATTAAGCTAATTAGTTTTATTTTACTTCATGTTTTTCTTATTTTCTTTATATTTCTTATCTTTCATGAATTTCATTTCTTCCTTGTATATCCAATTTTTCATATCTTTCCTATCTTTCCTATCTTTCTTATACTTCTTATCTTTATTATCTTTCTAATCTTTCTTAAGAAGTATAACTATATAAACTTTAATCAGGACTGCTATTAATAAAAAGATTTTTATCATATAAATTAAAAAAATTCATATAAAATAAATAAAAACTTCTTTGTTATATAGCTATTATTTCTTTAGTTAAATTCGTTTAGCAAAGATTCTTTATATATAATTGTTTAAAAAATATTATAAAAATATAATATGAATTTATTTCATAAATTAAAAATTAAAAAAAAAAAAAAAAAAACTATATATTTATATATATATATATATATAATAT